TTGGGCCTGGGGCTGCTCCTCACCTCCCTGCTCCATCCCAGCCCCCCCGTTCTAGGGAAGGGCCCCTGTCCCCTGACCAGGTGTGTCGAGTCCCTGGCAGACGGTGGTGGCTCCGTCGGTACTTGGGAGCTTGGTGGTTCCCATGGGTAGGGCTGGGGTGGGAGACGGGGAGGCCTCAGAGGCTGGGGTGCGGGAAGGGGAGGTGAGTCTCAGGCAGGAGGAGGCTTGCTGAGTGTCCTGGAGACGGTCAGAGAGTAACCACTGGAAGTGGATGGAGCAGGGTCCTGGAGATGCCTCACAGAGAGAAGGAGGTCCACCCTGACTCCAGACCAAGTCCTTACTGCTCAAAACAAGTTTTCCACGATGCCAGTGGGCGATGTTAGGGATGCCCGGAGTCACTCCCCTTCTTCTTCCTTTTCTCGCTCCCTTCCTCCCTGTCCCGTTCTGATCCCTGCTCCTGGCCTGTGTCACAAAAGCAAGACTCTCAGCCCTGAATGCAAGCTGACAGTCTCATCTGTCTTCTCACGAACAGGGACGCGAGCAGACCACACACATTCCTGAAGAATTTCTAAAGACCTGAGCAGCGTCTAGACTGGCGAACCCTCACATCTGTCACCTGTCATCTTCGCTCAACCATCTCGGGAGGCAGGCAGTATCATTGAATCAGTATCACCGTTATCAGTATCACTGTAAGGCAGGGCCTTACAATAAGGCCCAGGTGCAGCTTGTCCAAGGTCAGTCAGTTAGATGGCAGGGACGCACCATCCCCAGGCCACGCTTTCCTCTTTGTTCCACAATGTGGGCACTGGTGTTCAGAAGCACACCTGAGCAAGTCTGCAGAGGCAAAAAGCAAAACCCAGGGCTTGACTGACAGTTACTCAGCTGGCCGGAGGGGGGCTCCAGTCGGCTCTCTGCAATGTGCCATGGCATTTCCAAGAACACAGCAGATCAGATTCTTAACATCCCCTGAATTAACTAACGTTACACTTTCGCTAGAATACTGTCCTCCAGGACAGCTGTCAGACTGCTTCACGCGACACAGTCTATTTCCCTTGGCCTATTCTTACCAAACATTAGCTACTTTAGCAAGGGCCTATTGTTCAACTACATTCCCAGCTGCTGTGAGCTCTAGACCACAGGGCAGTGAAATTAATCTGTAGAATTATATTTTTTCCTCAGACGCGTGGTTCTTTAAGAAAACAATCTGAGTGATTTCCCTCCAAATCAGGAGACCCGGGTTCAATTCCTGGGTCAGGAAGATCCCCTGGAGAAGGAAATGGCAACCCACTCCAGTATCCTTGTCTGGAGGGCTACAGTCCATGGGGTTGCAAAGAGTCGGACATGACTGAGTAACTAACACTTTCACTTTCACCCTGCCTGAAGCACTAAGGCTCTAGATGGTAGAATGTCAAAATACTGGAATAAAGTGAGCTCTTGCTATAGCAGAACACGTTAGGAGGTGCCTGGAGTAAAACTGAGATTTATTTTAAAATGCTGATAATGAAACAGCTCTTGGATTTAAAATTTTCTATCACCTGTTGATGTCAGCTATCATCAACTACCATCTGTTTACTCAGAACTGTCAAAAATAAGACTAGGTCAGTCTGAGAGAAGCATGCTGTGTGTAGTTTTCCAGACCCACTGTCATGGGAACAGGGGTCCATGAGTCAGGTGAAAGTGAAAGTCACTCAGTCATGTCCAGCTCTTCACAACTCCAAGGATTACACAGTTAACAGAATTCTCCAGGCCAGAATACTGGAGCTGGTATCCTTTCCCTTCTCTGGGGGATCTTCCCAAACCACGAATCGAACCAGGGTCTCTTGCACTGTAGGTGGATTCTTAACCAGCTGAGTTATCAGGGAAGTCCTGGGTTGAGGCTAACATCTTTCTGAAAAGAGCTAAGTTACAGTGCATCCAGGCTTCCCTGGGGGCTCAGACTAGAAAGGATCTGCCTGCAGTATGGGAGACCTGGGTTCAATCCTTGGGTTGGGAAGATCCCTTGGAGAAGGGAATGGCTACCCCCTCCAGTATTCTTGCCTGGAGAATTCTGTGGACAGAGGCTACAGTCAGTGGGATCGCAAAGAGCTGGACATGACTGGCTAACACTTTCACTTTCTAGGACACCTAGTCAGAGTAGGACCACTGATCTGCACCCACAAGGACAACTGGGTGCAGTTGAAATTTCATCTCAAGTTGGCATTATGGACCTAGAGTAGCAGTGGGTGAATTTTTTCCTATAAAAGGCCAGACATTAAAATATTTTAGGCTTTTTAGGACATACAGTCTCTCTCCCAAGTATTCAAATCTGTCAAATGAAAGCATCCAGGGACAAGGAACAAATGGGCGTGGTTGTTCCAGTAAAACTTTTATTTACGAAACAGGCAAGGAGAAACAGGCAAGGAGCGGGATCAGGTCTGCAGCTTGCATTTTGCAGCCCTTCACCTCGAGGGTCTCGATGAGAGGTCTCTTCCTGTGCAGCCCCCCACCATCCGCCCACACTAGCCCACCCTACTTCATTTTCAAAAAGGCCATAAACACAAGGGAAAACTGCTCCAAGCTACATTTTTAAGGCAGTGACGGGAGAATATCTTTTTATCTGATCTTAAATTCTTAACCATTTGTTCAGTCCTTCTGAAGCTACACATCACAGGGTTTTTAACAGCGTTCTTGCCTAATTACACTTGACTTTGCTAAAAATAAACATAGAAAACAGAAAAGCTAAAAATCAACCCAAATCACCTATGGAACCTAGAATATCTTTCCTTCTTTGCACTTGGAACAGTTACTTTCACCTTGACTAAGTCCTATTTCTCAGTGTCCTTGAAAAAAAATAAGCAGGGTCGGTAGTGTTAGTTGGCCTTTTTAGGTAAAAGAGCCAAATACTGAAACAAGATGCCTGCAGGGACTCATCTGAGAGCCACAGTCACAGAAAATATCAGTGGGAGAGAGGTGGGACTTTCATGGCGTTATTTTGCGTGGGTCTTGTGAGCAAACACACGCAAGGAGCCTTTAAGGACAGGAAAGACAGCGGGGTAATCTGCTCATCCAAGTGTCCACTGGACCTGCCCATCTAATTTGGAGTTCAGCAGTTCTCAGGAGAACTGCATTCCTAAAGCCTAGCTCCTCTGCTTTTCTTCTTTTTAAAACACCAGAACATTCAAGTTATTGGTAGAGCCAATTTAAAATGCATTTACATTTTAATTGAGGGACTTCTTCCATTCACAAAATGAGAATGAGTCACTTTGAGTCAGTCAAATCAATTGTGAGCAAGATCTCAAAGAAGTAAAGCCCTACTGGTTCAAAGAATATTTTCACTTGTCTGTCAATTTCTGCCTTGCAGAATTCTTTTATTCTAGTACAACTGCCAGTGTGTACCTGAACACTTTACTTCAATTGCGAAGTGTGCTGAGGAGAATGAAATACTCTGCGTGATCATGAGCTCAGGAATCACAGACACCTGAGACTGTCCTCATGCAAGATGGAATCTCCAGGCAATTAACAGCCGAGAGAGGCACCGTTCTCCTATAGAGGTGAGGGCCATTCTGTAGAGAACTTCTGATACGGTGCCTCTGGGAGGGACCAGAGGCTGGTATTGACACTGCTCCACTATTGGTTTTGGGAGAACAAAATGTCCTGCTCCCACTTTCAAAGTGATGGAAAGACCTAAAGCAAGAGCGTGGGGAGGCCCAGGGCTGGTCACCATCTGCAAAACAATCAGCAACAGAACAGGGAAAAGGTAACGATGAGAGACAAGAGGCGGAGGGTGGGTCTCACGCTGGCAGAAGCTCCCCCGCATCAGACCAGGTTTCCCCGCTCCGCCTGGCCTGTTCACTGCCAGGGAGCGAGGCCTGACAAGCACGTCCAGGGGCGATCTGCACAGGGAGATGCCTGCTGCCCTGAAGTCATTGTCTCTCTCCTTCCAAATGCCCCGCTGCTGGTGTCACCCCGGGAAGCCTCCTTTGCTAAAGCACAGATAACCCAATGTGCTTAAAGTGCTTCCATGAAGAAGCAAGCTGAAGGTCAGACTCCTGAAAGTGATTCACTCATCCTTGTCTGCTCTTGAATTCAAATGCTCACCAGAGAGGTGTGGAGCAGTTCCAGCTTTGAGCCCACAAGGTCATGGGGAGAGGGTGGTTCGGGTTCTGCTCGGACCGGACTTTGAGTTGTGTCCTGACCCAGACTTGCTGCCACCCTAACCAGCTGGGCTGTGGCACGATGCAGGCTCCCAGGGCCTCTCTGCTCAGCAGTGGCTGCCGAGCTGCTCTGCCTGGTCCTCTACGCACTCCCACAATCCAGCAGTGGGTCACCGCCTATCTGCTGGCCTCCAATCCCAAGCACACTGAACTTTCAAATGCCCTCTGCTGGAATTTCTACTTCTTTCTCTTTGCTTACTAAGGCTGGCATTCTTTTCTCCCTTAGCCAGTTGATGGCTGAATTAATAAAGTCTATCCTGACAATCATTTTACCTACTAAACAATATAAAGAGAGCTGGGTTTGCCTCTGGCCTTTAAAAATTTGGTGGCACCTACCCCAGCAAAGAAAAGGCAAGAAGGTGACCAGCTACAGGACCAATGAATGGATCCTGGGTCTCTTCTAGGACATTTAGCAAAAGCACTGGCCTGGGAACAAGCATTCCTGGGACAGGCCCTTCCTCTTCATGGACCTCAGTTTCTTGTTTGAGGGGGGTTGATATCTAAGGGCAGAGACTAGGATTCCATGTAAAAACACCTCCCAGTGGGTGTTAGTACATACGCCACCCTGGACGTCCAGGGAGAGACAGGAAGGCCATTACCTCACCTCTCAGAGCCACAAGCTGAGTCCTGCCCACCCAGGAACCCCAGCGCAGGTGTTCCACCCTGTGTTGTGTTGCAGCCCCGAGTTCCTGCAGCCTGGTTCTGGATTCAGCAAAGCGGCGCTGGAGGGCGGGCAGCTGGACCAATTCCTGAGGCGCCAGCACACCTCCCGACGTGATGCAGAGCAGCTCAGAGGACACAAAGGCCTGGCTGGATTAATTCCCTTTTTATCATTTCTGGAAGTTACACACATTTCAATTGTTAGCAATAATTTATAAGTCACATCTCATATAGTTCAGTCATTGGAAGAACACAAAGACAGAAAATTATTAGAGCACAGAGTCTTCAAAGAGGAGGTTACTGTAACCCATCACAGAAGGAGCTAAAATCCCAAATATATAAGACTCCACAGACAAAACCTAAAGCTTACAATTTCTCTAAGAGCCTATACACTTGAAATTACAAAATTCAGCAACTGCCTAACCAAGAAATGAACAGTTCTGTTTTCAAGGTAAGAAAACAAGGAATGCCATGGTAAGTCACCTTTACTGTTTAAATGTTTCTGCTCTGTTTATACCTTGAATGACTGTATATACACACAGGCACAGCACATATTTCAGTATAGCTCTCACAAACTGCTTTTACTACAGATTTAAATCTAGTCTATGTGAAAAGCAATTCAACTGCTTGGATCTTAAATTTTTAAAAAATGAAAAGCATTTCTAGGTACTCTTAAAGCTGTCTCCCAAAGTATAAAATGTTATACTTTCAATATCTGAAGCATTCCTGTCTTTCTCTGAGATAAATACAGGTCCTGGGACTGGCTTCTTATAGCATAAATGCCCACATACTATTGTGCATACATGGTAAAACAGTCCACGAGGGCCCCGGAGGGGACGGCACCCTCGTAGGTCTGGCTGTGACCGTCCGCAGCCAGACCAACACCCCGGCCGCTGCTCTTGAGGCCAGGTGCCCTGGGGCACAGAGACTGGTCACTCTTCAGTCAGTCAGTTCTTGCTTGGGGGATTCCAGTTCAGTCAATAAATCTCTGCCAGCTGCTCCAGCCTTTGAAGCAAAAAGAACCGCTCCCTGTTTAAACCCGAGGTTCTTTAAACTTCGGGCATAATCTGCATAAATAGCAGAGATGAGCTTCTGTAAACTGCGGTTAAGGAAAAGAAGGGCAGCGAGGGCTCCAGCAGGTTCCCACAGGCTGGAAACAAGGAGCAGCTCCGCCAGGGGAGGGCAGCGTGCGAGGAGCACAGGGAGCTCTTCTGGGGGAGGGCAGCTCGCGGCGGGGGAGGTGAGGTCTCAATCCGCAATGTCCCTGCACTGGCACCAGCTGAGCCCAAAGCCCGACCTCCTACAAGACCCAACCAACATCCCCTCAGATGCTCCAAGGTCTAAATGCACTTAAGGAGTAGAGAGGGAAGGATGACAGAAGAGAAATACATGTGCAAACCCTTGAGCTGCTTGCAAGCCTGAGAGGTTGGCGCAGATCCAGCCGCACTGAGTGGCTCAGATGGTGAAGAATCTGCCTGCCATGTGGAAGACCTGGGTTCGATCCCTGGGTTGGGAAGATCCCCTGGAGGAGGGCATAGCAACCCACTCCAGTACTCTTGCCTGGAGAAATTCATGGATAGAGGAGCCTGGCGGGCTATTGTCCATGGGGTCGCAAAGAATCAGACACAATTGAGTGACTATCACTTTCACTTTGGGGATGTTAGACAGCCCTGTCCCACTGTGTTCTGATATCCAAAACAGCTCCACTGAATCAGAGCCAACTCCACCAGTGCCGAGACACATGACACTGAGTTCAATTTTCTGTTAAAAAAAAATACAGAAAAATAAAAAACATGACATGTAGGTATCAGGCCACCATGTAACCATTCAAGAGAAAGTGCAAGGAGAACAACAAGGCCTCTGCAAACACAAGGACCTGAGAGTAGGATTCTCAAGCTCCTTCTTTTCAAAGAAAAACATGTGACTCAAGTGACAGGTGGAAGAAATGAAAAGCTCCTAGTCACACGGGGGCCACTGTGACCTGCCTACATGACACGTCTCTCTGAAGTGCTGCTGTGTCTTGTCCCACGTTAGCCCGTCCCTGTGGTAACAGCCAGTCTTTCTTTTTAATCTATTCTGGTATGCATTTATTCCAGCAGCCTCCGATACCTTTCCTACACTACTAGTTCCTCTATCTTTTTTTAAGTTCAAACAAAACGTTACAAAATCTGGGCTCCCTCCACTTCACAGCCGTTCCTGTCTCTCCATTTATCTCACAGCTGATGCCGTTGGGGAAACAACCTTCTTTCTGATTTGTCGCCTCCCATTTCTCCCTTTTTCCTGGCTCTGAGCAGTCAGAACACGGATTTTTCTCCATACAATAGTTTCCTCCCAGGCAGCACAGCCAACGGGGATGCTTAAACCCACTCACGGCATCTGGCTCCCCCTCAGCAAACATGTCCCAGCAAAGGATATCTGTGTCCTCACTGACTTCAATGGCTCCGTACTTGAGACAAGCTTCCATAAACAAGGCCGCTCTGTCGAAGTACCTCATGCTGCTCAACAGAACACAAAGCGCGTCAGGAGCTGTGACTTTCATCATCTGGGGGTAGGACCACCCCAGGGAGTGTTTCTACACAAGGGCTTGCACATGCTCCCCACAGAGCCCAAGGGCTGCGTGAGGCACACCAGCATCGGTCTCCGCCCCAGCTGAGAGGAGAACTCTCACGCTCCACCCCGCTGCTGTTTTCTATTAACTCTTACAAAACATCTCTGACATCACTGAAATAAAGACAGGACAAGAATCCTATCTTGTTCGATCTACAGAGACAGGACAGAAATCCACATACCCAGGTCCAGATTTCATAAGTAACTTTCTGTCGTATCTGCCTCAACCTACCTCCCATAGTTTTAAATAAATAAATAAAATGTCCTATGGTAAGTGATAAGCATTAATTTCCCTTCAAGGTTCTCAGAGGGGACACCTCTAACTTGCCACACGTTCTTCCTCCTTCCTACTGCTTTTCTGCCTTTGTCTCAGTTGTTCTACTCAAAGCTAAACTGACCTCAATTCTTTTTAAATATTCTTTTTAAACAGGTTAACTATTAGGTTTGACTAGCAGATTGGCAGAGAAGTAGCAAAGTTCCTACACCAAAAGAAAAATGAATAAGCATGGGCTGTTCCACTCCCTTTAGGTTTTTTTCTAAAAAATAAACCTAAAATATATGCTTCTCCCTTCACTCCCAACATCAAGGACTACCACTTTCCTGGCAGAGCCTCACGACCGTGAAGTGGTGAATCCCGGGTGGTTCTGACCAGCCATGGACAGCGGGTGTACCTGTGAAGCGTCTCGGCCACGCTGGAAAAGCAGCCCAGGGAAAGGAGAACCAGGAGGGCCTTGGACTTCTGGTTCACTTGAGGGGAGCAAAGGTGGTCAACCCATCGTTTCAAAACATCAGCGCACTCTTCAGAATTTAAGCGGACCTGAGAAAGATGCTCATGTTAAAAAGGACACCCTGCACTATACTGAAAGAAAAAAGAATTCAGGTGAAATGAAATCAACAGCTCTCATGTTGTTACCATGAAACAGAGCTCATCTCTGCTTTATGCCACAGCCCCTGCTGCTGCAGCACCATGACCAGAGGTGACAAGGACCTATGCCTCAGGACCAACGGGTCCAGGACCACCTCTTGGCTGTACGTAGTCTGGACTCACACCCCAGCAGGGACAGGAGGCAGCTGCTTTCACTAATTGCTACCAATGCAACCTCCACTTTGCAGTAAGAAGAAATGCAATTTATACACAAAGAAGAAGATGAAAGTTGCTAAGAAAATATTTGTAAAGCCGCTTTGCAGCCCCCAAAAATACCTTCAAATCATGAGTCAAAAATTCAAGATTGAACTTTCCCGCCTGAAGTTCCAGGCACCTACTAGAATCACCTACTTTGGCAAGCCACGCTGCCCGGTTCCACTCGCCGTAGGTCTGCAGGTAGCGGCAGGCATCCGCAGCTTTGTCTATCAGGCAGAGCAGCTGGACGCCCTCTGGAAGACAAGACAGCAGCCCCGTGAGTAAGGCTGGAGCTGTCTCTCTGGCAAGTCACTGAAGGGTAAAACTACCATCTGACTTCACCTGGTCTTGGACATTTTATACCTACTGGAGACATGACTGACTTAAATTTTAAAATGAAGTATTAAAATAGGGTTTTACAGTGTTGTCACTCAAGTAACCTGGGTTGGCAGTACAAATACAGTCCAGAAAACAAGAGTCAAGACTATCTCACTCACTGGTTTTAACGTTTAGGGTGCCCACGTTTGTCCAATTTATGTATATTATTTTGGCAATTATTAATAATACCGCTTTTACTCTTTAAAAATGCACTGGTCTAGATGACTAAATTATATGGTCATCTTATAATATGAGGGCTTCCCTAGTGGCTCAGATGGTAAAGAATCTGCCTGCAATGCAGGAGATCCAGGTTTGATCCCTGGATCAGGAAGATCCCCTGGAGAAGGGAATGGTAACCCACTCCAGTATTCTTGCCTGGACAATTCCATGGACAGAGGAGCCTGGCAGGCTACAGTCCATGGGGTCACACAGGATCGGACACAACTGAGCGACTAACACTCTCATAATGTAAACTGCTAGCAATAATTTATTTTTCTCCAGTGTATATAAAAAAGAAAGAAATATTCCTAATAACCAAATACTTTTCTAGGAATGGGTCTGATTTTTCAGAGAACTGACAAATACACCCCTAAAGCATGCCTCACCTGCCAGTTTTCCGTTGGCGATCATATTAGTCGCCACGAGCTTGATGGTGCTCTGGGAGGGGCCTGACGAGGTGACGGTGGTGACCAGGCAGGCTTTGAGTGAATCACAGTAATAATGCTGGTTGTCTGCGCTGGTTTCCAAAAGCAACTGCACGGCTCTGTCTGTCTAATAAGGCAAACAATTCTTCTAGTTATGAGGCCATTTTCCTCCAACATAACCTTTCAAGATTCGTAATTTGGGACACTGAAGTTTTCAGCTTAAAGAAGACTTTCACTGTCAAAAATTATCCATAAACACATTGTTTACATGTATACAAGTTGAACAAAAGTGCAACACTGCTTCTTTAGAACAACTGTAAAACCAGTCTGGTTTACACAGGTACTTATTTAAGCTCTGTACTAGTCAGAGACTAGTACAAAACCAAAACAAAACAAAACTAGGCAGGCCTCATGTGACATTATGGAAACCAAAATTACAAGTTGGTTTACCATATATTTTTGCTTTCTCAGAACATCTGTTGGTCTTATTTTGAGAGAAAGCATATATTTACACTTATACTTTCAGGGAAATGTTACAGTGTGTGCACAAAGGTGTTTGTGTGTGATATAAATGATGCTGTAAAATACTAATCAAACAGCAACTCCCTGAAACATGGAAAGAGATAAAAACTGACATACTTGACCCAAGAGAAGCAGCTGGTCTGTACATTTCCTTGTATGATCATAAGTTGACCGTTTTACTTCCTGGAGATTAACCCTTTCCAACTGAAATTTCTAGAGCAGAAAAAAAAAATAGAGAAAACTGAGTCTGGATTTTAAAAGTTTTGAATTATTTAACTATTAGTTAACATTGTTTTGATTTCTGAGTCAAAGAAGTCCAACAATTTAATAAGAATTTGAGAAGAAAAAAATGTTGAAATGTACTATAATCTGTGTGTATGTCTGCCTGCTTACAGAAACTGGCACTTTAGTAGAGTTGGAAGAAAAATCCCTATGTGTAATTCAGTACTCTACTGGAGGTTAAACAAATTATGAAACTACCTTTATATATATAAAACAGCAAATTCAAACCAAGTAAATTAAGTATTTGTTATTTATAGAAAATTAGTAACATGAAAAAATTAAAATGAACCAAGTTAAAAATTTTTAAGACCCCCCCCAAAATTAAAAGGCTGTTAATAAAAAAATTTTAATGTCTACTAAAAACTCAGAGTGTTTATGAGCTTTTCAAGTCCTGAATCAGGCCTTTTTTATGTGACTGTGCCAAGAGACTCATTTCTGTTATGTGGACCTTTACTGAGTACAAAGTTAACTTTAAGATACTTACAAAGACATAGCTTTAAAGGTTTTTAATATATGAAACGTAATACCTGAAAATAGGCATTTTCACAGAGGACGTCATAACATATATCTAGTGGGTTGTTCACTCTGTCCCGAGGAGCGGCTTCTTTAGCCACTGGTGTGCTTGCGGCCTTTTCCTGGGACAGGCTGTGCAGATAGTGGGCGGCGACAGTCCAGAAGTGCAGCTCCGATTCATCACCATAAAGCCTGGCCAGGGTGAGACCACAGTCTCCACTGACCTCACGCAGCAGCGTGGGGCCTGGACGGGGGCTCCCCACGGCAGCCTGAAGTGCCAGGAGCATGGTGCTGGCCCGTGAGAGACCACGTGCTGGCTGGTGGAAGAGCTGAAGCTGCAAGTCCTCCAGCCTTGTTACTGGCTCTCAAACAGCACAGGGCCCTGACTGCACGGGGCCCCTTCCGACCCAAGCCTCCCTTTGTTCTGTTAAGAGCAACACCGTGGTGCTATAGCCTGTGCTATTATTTACCTGGTTTGCCATCAGCACATCTTTCAATCTGCACCAGTTAAGGAAGAAGTTCCTCTGGGATCACTGACTATATAAGGTGTGGAAATAACATGCTCTTTATTCTCTGGTGAGTGAAGGGAATGGTCTTTCTTATAAGGGATGGCTCTACTCTAAGTAAGAACATATAGGTTATTACTTCTAAATATAATCTAAATATAACTTATGGGTATACTTAGGACATGTCCCGTGTAGCTGATATTTTAAAAAGCTATCTGTAGAATGGAGTCTTTTCAATAGAGAAGGCCTAGATCTCACGTTTTTTTCTTTTTCCTATTTGTAATACTACTTTCAAAACAATCTATAAGCCAACTATAAAGGATGAACTGATATATTTTCCAAAATTCCAAAGAGTTTGGTTTTAACTAACAACTCTTGATGAAAGGAGTGAGTTAACCTGAAATTCCCTATCTCTTACACAGGACACTTCAAATAGTGTTACCTTGAAACAAGCAGGCATCTCTGCAGGAGAGTAAACTCCGGATCGAGCAAGAGTTTCTTTATGTCACTGCAGGCAGGAATCCAGACAAAGGCAAGACAAAATTTTTGAATCCATCAATAAAGGAGATAAATCAATACACTCTTAAAATGGAAAATTCTACCCAAAAGATATGATAAGACCCTACAAAAGAAGTTACTTTGCCACGGCCCTGAAACTGCAAAAGCTTACAGAGCTTAGACAGCATCTAGGCTTGGAGAAGTGGAACCCATCAACCACCATAGCTTAAGGTTCTAATTCTGATTTACCATCTTGAAGCAGCTCAACTCCCATTCTAAAAAATATGAAGAGCTACCTAACTACAGGAATAAGAAGGTCATTGCTGATAAAATGACTTTACTAAATGATCACCAGGAACACTCTATACTTCAGAGAAGATGCATTGAGAATTTATTCTTCAAAGTACTGAAAAATTAAAATATATAAGGAAGAAAGGCTAGTGTTTCATAAATTGATATTTCTACAATAGCCCATTATAGACTATGACCTGTGTGCTACACCATACCATAGTGGAAACAATAAATGAAATGGCATTGCCCTGATCTTTTCAACAGAAAAAAAAAGAAAAAAAATAGACTATTTATAAATCAGGAAGAAGGGGAGATAGTCTTTAAATCTATTCTTTTCCATTTAAACATAAATGCTAACCTTGGGACAGAGAAGAGAAAAAAGTAATTACTTTGAATTTGACATCAATATAATATTCCCTTAGCATTAATTTATTAAATATTAAAATATATGTGATGTATTCTAGATTGCCAAGATATGTTTTCCCAAGAACTTGTGGAGTCAAGTTTTTCTACTTCCTTTCTGTAGAAAAGGAATAACACTCCTTTCCAGTGTTATTCACTGTACCTATCTGTAAATGCTCTTGACTCTAGGGAGCATATTAATTTCTTAGCCAGAATTGTGCACACACAGCAGCTGACACAAAGAACTTATCTCAGCAGAGAGAAGCTGACACACAAGAATTGCCCTGTGTACATCCATCCTCTAACGTGAGGCTTTGCAGGGTATTTGTGCTGGAGGCAGGCTAGCTACAAGGCGGCTTACCCCACTGCTTCATCTCCTGCCCTGACATGAGACCACAGCAATTTGAAACTTACTTCCACAAAACAAAGACTCTAAAGGGAAACAAACTGAGGTGAAGAGAAGGGTCTCTCCATGGGCCACTAATATTTTCCAAAACAAAGCTTATTTTAACTTTAAAAAGTCTAAATCATTATGTTCTTCTTTTTCATAATCTTATTCTCTAATAAAACATAGAGTACTTACTTAGACAATGAGTTCAACTGCTCTTGAAGGAGATTCTTTATTTCTTCATTTTCTGGATAATCACTGTGCCAAGAAAATATTTTAAATGAGTTCATTTTCTCTTTATTTACCACCATTTATTTCTTCACCAGGAAAAAAAAGTTGTGTTAATACAGAAATACCTTCTTTGTAGTCCTTGGTTAAAAAACTGCATGTAGACTGAAATAGCAATAGACTACTCAGGAACCTACCAATCATCTTTAATGTCTGCTTTTATCTTATTGAGTCAAAACTGAGAAATGAACACACAAAGTTTCTCTGGCTTTCAAGAAACCAAAAATTTATTAGTGAGCTCTAAAACTATCAGGTTTAGATTCATGTTAATAAGGAACTTAGCAATGACTACAGGAATCTGCTCGTTGTTCTGCAAAATTAACATTCATTTCTCTGAGTAGATACTTCTTGGAGAAAGAACATCTCATCATATTTATTGTTTTAATTCTCCTAACCCAGGGCTTTGCTGGTGGCTCAGTGGTAAAGAATCCACCTGCCAGTGCAGGAGATGTGGGTTTGATCCCTGGGTCGGGAAGATCCACTGGAGAAGGAAATGGCAACCCACTTCAGTATTCTTGCCTAGAAAATTCCACAGAGAGAGGAGCCTGGTGGGCTACAGTCCATGGGGTCACAAAGAGTCAGACATGCCTAAGTGACTGAACACACACACAACCCATGCCTATCTGTGCATTCCACACAGCAAAGGTCCCATAACACTTGTGGTAGTTTAACTAACCACCACCAATAATGGTTTCTGTGACTATTTTTTGCAAGGAGGCAGGCTATAAAACATAAAACACTTCTGAAGTAGATTCCTTTATGCTACTTTTAAAAAGATTTAATCTTGTCCCCTGACTCTGATGCTGGGAAAGACTGAAGGCGGGAGGAGAAGCGGACAACAGAGGATGAGATGAAAAATTTATTAGTGAGCTCTAAAACTATCAGGTTTAGATTCATGTTAATAAGGAACTTAGCAATGACTACAGGAATCTGCTCGTTGTTCTGCAAAATTAACATTCATTTCTCTGAGTAGATACTTCTTGGAGAAAGAACATCTCATCACATTTATTGTTTTAATTCTCCTAACCCAGGGCTTTGCTGGTGGCTCAGTGGTAAAGAATCCACCTGCCAGTGCAGGAGATGTGGGTTTGATCCCTGGGTCGGGAAGATCCACTGGAGAAGGAAATGGCAACCCACTTCAGTATTCTTGCCTAGAAAATTCCACAGAGAGAGGAGCCTGGTGGGCTACAGTCCATGGGGTCACAAAGAGTCAGACATGCCTAAGTGACTGAACACACACACAACCCATGCCTATCTGTGCATTCCACACAGCAAAGGTCCCATAACACTTGTGGTAGTTTAACTAACCACCACCAATAATGGTTTCTGTGACTATTTTTTGCAAGGAGGCAGGCTATAAAACATAAAACACTTCTGAAGTAGATTCCTTTATGCTACTTTTAAAAAGATTTAATCTTGTCCCCTGACTCTGATGCTGGGAAAGACTGAAGGCGGGAGGAGAAGCGGACAACAGAGGATGAGATGGTTGGATGGCATCACCAACTCAATGGACGTGAGTTTGAATAAGCTCTGGGAGTTGGTGATGGACAGAGAGGCCTGGCATGCTGCAATCCATGGGGTCGCAAAGAGTCAGACACGGCTGGAGTGACTAACTGAACTGAATCTTGTCCCCAAATTCCTCTTGGCTTCAACTGGCCCTCTCCACACTCAGAATGGCATGCCCAGGTTCAGACCGTAACATGACCACAGGGCCACCTGACAGCCCCGCGTGTACTCACAGCTGCGTCCAGGTCCCCAGAGAGGGAAAGACAAGAGGCAGATCAGTGACTCCTTCAGGGTCTCTGCCATCACTGCCTCAACTCAGTTTTAAGGTTCCAATCCCTGTAAGCCCTGGAGACCAGCCACTGCTAATTTTCATGGGGTGTCCTTCAATCTTAAATCAATTAAGAAAGGAAAACAAAAATGCGAAAAAACTTACACATGAGAAATGTCCAAAGAATACTGTCCATTCCAAGGCTGATGTAATAAGAAAGCTTTCAAGGCGAGAGCAGCCCTGGGAACAAGGAGATATGGGCACCACACAGGCTCTAGACAAAAATACAGATTTTGTTTTTAACAAGTAGAATTGTATACAACTATAAAGCTTCTGCTGTAGACAGTTCACAGAGAAGTCAGCAGACAACAATGTGTAAGTCTGGTGGTGGCAACTCAGACAGTATATTAGTGTAATCACTGCTTAAGACACAGGGGCTAAGTGTTGGCAGAGAGTTAGACCGTACAGTCTCCGACCTCACAGAAATAGTACTGAAAGTTCTTGGAAACAGCATCATACAAAATATTATTAAACAAGTCTCATAGTTCTGAATTCCTTTTAAGACACTGCTAAAAAGAATATTGTTTTATGCCATTTTATGCCCCTGATCTAGGCAGCAGGTAAGAAGGATTCTCCAACTTAAAAACAGGGATTCTAATTATCTACATTTGTCTGATTTCCCCTTTTACTGGGAGAAGAGGCAGTGTCAGAAAAATGTAAATAAGGGGCAGGGTGGAGGAAGAAGACTAAGTTATTCTAAGAAAACAGATTTGAATCAACATACTATGATCTTCTCTACTTGTCATAAAAAAGAAATGAAGCAAATGTATTAAATATTATATCACTGCATATGACCTCAAATGATTTTATTATCCTACATCAATAAGGTCCAAAATATATTTCTAATTCCTCAGAAGAGAAATATATTACATCAAACATATTTTTCCAAGCTCAAATCAGCACATATCTGGCAGCAAACACATAGAAATCTATTTCCTAACTCCATGTTTACATTCTCACCTGTCTGTATTCTTTAACATTTATTGAATGTTGTTCTGAGTTTAAAGTTCAATTTGGGGAATATATGCACAATTTCATTGACTTTCCCCTTTATTATTTTAAAACTTGCCCTTTTTGGCTGAGACTGCACCACTAGAGATTTGATAGGATTTTTTTTTTTTTAAGGAAAATTTTAAAAGAAAAATGTAATCTAAAATCTGGTTGAGGGTCACCTGTTCATTCATGGTATTAAACAGTCATGGTATTAAACAGGGTAGCCCATTAAGCTAACAATGGGCTCTCATTCATTATATAAAGAGTTTAATTTAAAAACAAGTACCTTGGCTTTGGAGACTTTTAGACTCAAATTTTAAGATAAAGGTCAAAGAATAGCTTCTCAAACATCTAGATTACATTTGCATACTTCTTTACCTAGAACTAATAACTAAATTAAAAGAAAAAATCATTCTTGAAATTCCCTTAATTTCCTCAATAACTTTATGTTTAAAGTTTGTATCTGTGCTTGTCCTTCCCTAGAGGGAGGTCCTGCTACTTCTGCAGAGCTGGCAGGGATCTTGAGGACAGATGTGGGAATGCAGTGCTCAATTGCAGCTCACTAGACGGCAGTCACAGTTACAGAATAAGAAGTGATGGTTCCCGAACACAGTGGCAGGGGTGGAGCAGTGACACAAACAAAAACCCATTTAATCTAAGTTAAAGGCAGCCCAGTCAACATACACAGCAACTCAGTAGTGCCTCAAGCACAAACGTAACATGAAGGGTCATGTTTTTAAAACCCTACTGTCTCTGAATGTGCCAAAGACTGACTCTGTGAAGGTACAGACAATTTCCAGAGCTGACAGTTTCTATGATGAAACTCTGTAAATGACTAAACATTCTCTTATGGCATTTTTTTACAGATCAGATAGCCCAGTGTGTATACCAAAGGTATGCTTGGAGAAAATTTAATGAAGGGACATCTCATTTTCAAATTGATTGATGAGTACTTTCACAAACTTCTCATTCATAGCTACTTTTTACTAAAATAGCTTTCATTCTCAGAAAAAAAATCGCAAAACCACCATATAAAGAAGGGCAGGGTAGTGCAATCATCTAATTTTGTTTTGACTGGCCCTTTAACAAGTCATAAGACAAGCATCACAATTCATACTTTCCAAAGTTATTTTTCCATGATATATGGTTGCAAAAGACACAAGACTCACTATTAAAAAGCCAGCAGCACTTTACCACTAGATTTGTGTCCTGTGATGAGCTCTGCTAAAGTCTGAGGAAGTCATTTTTATTCATGTAAACATCTTTGATCTTTTGACAGAGCACTCAGAAAGAGGTCAGGGAAGGGGCGCTGTGTAAACCAGCGTTGGGGAATGACTGACATCTAATTACAGACTCTAGCATCTCAGCAGTAAAAACACTCAAGCTTTAAGTTAATATACATTTTCAAACGTAGATTCCTAGAAAGAAAGAACAAAATCAAAGAGAAGCAGCTCTCTCCCATGAAAAGAACAGCTGGTGCAAAATAAAGACATTTCCAAGCATCCTTCCCTTAGAACTCCGTACCAGTCAACTCCTGCTCGTCCATCCTAAAGCACGTGGACTTCATGGACATCTCCAGGACCCTGATACACCCGTCATCAGAAGCCAGGATCACTTTATCTGACGTGCACCAGTCCACGTCCAATATCCGAAAGGTTACATTTCTTCCACTTCTTAAACTGCTCACCATCTGAACCTTCAAGAGTGAATTTGGTTGTCACTTTCAGAAAGAAAAGGAAGATGTTTATCATTCCAGACTAAACGAGCAAGAAAGACAGTGCTTGTGGTGAAGGTCCAGTTCATGTCTAAAACTGAGCAGTCTTGGGCAATCTATCTTCCACATGCAGACTGCATTTTGAAGGTCCCAGAGATAGTGATAACATTAACAATCTGTTGAGCTGTCACCTTTAGAACAGAAATACTATAAAAGAAAAAATTTAAAAGGAAGAAAACTGTTCTAAGAAGCTTGACAGACCCATTTATAAATCAGAAGGAAGGAAAAAAAATACATAGTTCCTGTGACCAGCAGCTTCATTTGCAGTGAACCCACGTGGAGTTGGTCTTACCTCTTTAGAATCCCATACTTCAGCTCCATCATTGTACATTGCTATTAATTTTTGGTTTCCTTTACCAGGGGCAAAACGAATCTTCTTCACCCAACTTCGGTGTGTAGGTATTCCTCTGAGGACAAACAAACCAAAACACCAATATGAAGTAGAGTAATATCTCGTTATTGAGAGAGATGTCCAATGTCTCTTTCTATTTCTGCTTTTGACGAGGTCCAGTGACATGACAGGAGAATCACTCTGCTTTCTGGGACAGGGGCCACACATGACAGACATGGTCTGCTCTTTAACAACAGTTGGAATAGTGTCCCAGCACTTCTGTGTGGGCCATCTGCAGGTAAGGGTCATATATGAATATTCTAGAGTTTAGTTCAAGGCCGTTCCTCTCAAGTTCTATAACAAGAGATCCAAGGGTCCAACCTGCACATGACTATATTTAGTGACGCTTATTGTCAAGTAACAAGCCACTAATGGAACTATATCAAGATTTTTTGTTTCGGCCAAATAATACACCTGAATTCTGACACATACCTGGATACTCTGCCTTTCAAATCCCAAAAATTTAAATTTCCATCCATATCTCCAAGAACTAATGTATCACCTTTCCAAGCAATGCAAGTAATGCTACCCATACTCCCCTAGAAAAGAACAGCAACAAACACACATCAATTTCACCACTTATAAGCACTCACAACAGAGAAATACTTTTATTTAACAACTGTGAAGAAATAATAAAGATATCTTGCTCGTGGTTTAGTCGCTAAGTCGTGTCCGACTCTTTATGACCCCATACACTATAGCCCACCAGGCTCCTTTGTCCATGGGATCTCCCAGGCAAGAATACTGCAGTGGGTTGTTATCTCCTTCTCCAGGGGATCTTCCCAACCCAGGGATCAAACTTGGGTCTCCTGTATTGCAGGTGGATTCTCTACACACTGAGCCACCAGGGAAGCCCCTAAGATAGTGTAATAAAACCTAATTGTAAATGGATTCCCTTTAGTATGAACATCATCAAACTCTAGTAGAGTTTAGTCACTAAGAGGGCTACCTAGCATTTCAATTTCAACAAAGAAGAAACAGAAGACTTCAATCCAATAGAGATTATCATCTGAACTAGATTTATAGAGAAGGGGTGTCTTTTGAGGAAGAACTACTTCAGAGAAAAGAAAATTAAAAGAAGAAAAAAGAGAAGGAAAGGACATCCTTTTACGAGTTATCCCTCACTGCTAAAGGATGAACACATTTATTCTGGGGGAACTCAGAGCTGTCTCACAACTGTTCAGCAATTCTTCTACTGAGAAGAATTCTTCTTCATCACTATGCAGTACATCTGAAACTAACCTAATACTGTATGTCAACTATATTTCAATTAAAAAAGAAAAAGATTCATAGCTTCGCTGATACCTTCATGAATAATGAAGAAGAATAGATACTGTACACTGAAGGCATCTGTAAAATCTGAATTCACAGAAGGTTCTGCAGAGAAGTTACACAGGGAAACACAAATACAAGAATGAGACACTTCTGTAACAAATTAAAGTGGGTTGGAAGGAGCATGCAGCTCTAACACATGCACAGAGGTACTGTGATGGAAAGACTCGGAGTTGGGGCTCTCAGGAAAGCTATGTGGACCTGAAGCCCAGCTGTATCACTGAATTTGGTGTGTGATGTGGGGCATGCTTACTTAATCTTTATATGTCTGGATTTATCATCAATAAAGTAGGGCAAGCTCATAAAATTTGAGGAGTTCCTATTGGTGTTAAAGTGTTAATAAATTTTTACAGGTAAAGGCCTTATGACAATGTTTGCCACAGAGTCAATATAATGCTAGCTATTCAATAATATTGCTCAATTACTTTTCCACTTATATTCTTATATTCAAAGAAACTTTTTTCATCATTTGTAGAACAGTATTAAAAATTCGTATTTGGTTCTCATGGTATTGCTAGTAAGAAGTAGGAATGCTCCAGAGTTTTGCTAAATTGGCTGTTAAAAGACTTGCACATACACCAAATATTGCATAAATCCTAGTGGTAAGTCAAGAAACAAAAGATAAAATTGGATTAAAAATAATTATTCTAATGATTTGATTAGTAAAAAACTTAGAAAGCTATGTTAAATAAATAGAATTCAGTACAGTATAAAGCAATACTCCAAGATCTTATTTCTATTATTCTGACCACATTAACAGAATGTTTAAGAGTTTGACTTTAAATTTAACCTTTTTAGTCCTGAGAATTTTTTTAAAACATTTTTACATTAGTTTCCAACTTCTAAAAATTAGAATATTAAAAGTTAAGTCCAGAAATCTGTCACCAACTTAGAATTACAAGTGATGTATTAAAACAACTGTACAATTAAACAATATAGAACTTTCTATCTAAGAGTCTGTTGATGGGATACAAGCCATATGAAGATTCTAAGGTCTTTTGGAGAAATGTGGGACAAACTTGCCTTCTGGCTCCAAATAATCCTAAGAGAACCAATGAAAGATTTAAAACTCAGTATTTTTAGTTGGCACTGATATGTTGCCTACATGTAAAACACGATGTTCAAAGGATCAAAGTAAAGCTGGCAGCAAACAGATAATCATTCTCTCCCACAGTTTTCTGAATAAAGGCAGTCAGTCAACTATACACTCTCCATGGGAATGTAATTTAAAATATATCACGCTTCTTCTTTTTACCATTTCTTATATGCTCTATAGTTCTGGGGCCAAAATTTAAAGGTAAAGTTCCAACTCAAAATAACTGGCCTAGTGGCTTAGTACTTTATATTTGGAAGGAAGGTTAAGAAAAATATTAGATTAAAATAAACAAAACCTCTGCCTCAATTCTACACACTGGTCACTGAAAAATTTTTGATTACTGAAAATAAAAATAATGAACCCAAATCAATCGTTCATGTTTTATACAGTAGATACATAACTCTCTTTTCCTAAAATACTCTGCTCTAAAATATGCACTAATTTCACTGGAGGCTGTATCCTTATTAGGCTGGTCATTCTTTGAAGCAACTGCTTCCAGCTGTGAAATAAAAGGATCTGGCAGGCAGAATTAAGATTTGCTATATCCTGACCAGACCTCCATAAGAGGAGGCAGAATCTTAAAAGCTGTGTTGTGCAATAATGTTGAAAGCAGCAGGACTTTTCTCTCCCCTTTTCTTCCCTACAAAAAGGAAAATTCATGTGTCCAGTGTTCAGAAGTTTTTAACTTTTTTTAAGAGTTGGGGGACCTAGAATCTCAGAAATTATTGGATTATTTCTATTCTAATCTCAAAGATGATGTAATTAGAAAACAAAGAGAATGAGTTATTAGCAAATGGCACTAGAGGAGCTAAGGTGGGGCCTTCTCTGAGGTCTCCTTTTCAGGAGGAGCTCTGAAAGCCAACTGATTTTCCAGAGTAGAGCTCATTACACTGAAACTCTTAAGGCCACGCTCTTGAACTGCAGTTTTTCTATCTACGCACTTAAAGTTAGGTTACTGCTCCTATTATAATGCCAAATGTCAATCTTTCACATTTGCATTATTTTTATCCTTTCAAACTAGTGAAAACTTTTGGCACTATTAAGAGTTTAAAATAGACATTACTAACTCTCAAATATGACTCATTCTATGTAACAATAAAACTGGAATTACAGCTTGAAAAGCACTTTCACATGCTAGTTATATATAGTAAGTTATATATATACATATATAAAATCTCATCCTCTACTTAATAGTTATAGTAATATTAGCAAAAACATTTTCTTCATCCACTCAGGAAAAAAACCCATGAGATACATGCTGACACAAATTATTAACTATAAATCCTTAGTTAAAGAATTCCACAAGGCCATGGGGTATATATATGTTAGTAAAGATTAGTAAATACCTTTATACCTACAACTTGATTACTGTTACCTAAAAATAATACTAGATTTTAAATCAAATCCTTCAGGGTAATACTTGAAATGGAAAGAGGAGAGACTAGAGTCCGACACATAGACCTGGTTTAAACGCTGCTCTGGTATGTCACGAGGCCAGGCAACCAGGGGAAAGTTACTCATTCTCCCTCAATCCTATCACAGATAAAATGGAAATAGTTCCTCATGAATTATTATAATGACAAAAATGAGCAGCACATGTTATGCCATCAAAATAGTTATTATGTTATTCTCCAAAAGTATGGGACAAATTTAATCAATGGAAACATCTCCTTAAAAAAGTTTATTTAGATTAAACTTTTCTGAAATAGTTTTCCACCTTAACTGTGGCTTTACTGGATATAGAACTAATGAGGTCTATGGGAAGAAATCTTCATGCAGGTTTAACCAGTTTGGACTCACGTCCGGTGGGATCCGAGCACTGTCTTTCACTGAGTTTCCTTCAACAGTGAGATGATAAACTTGGCCATCATTATCGGTGAACACAAAATGCTCCCGGGCAGAGATGTTCTGACTGAGTTCAGATTTACTTTCAGCCTCCTGCAACAAGCTTTGGGATGGAGGAAAAGAAGATGAAGAATTTTTTTCACCCTAGAGTGACATAATGAATTAACTCACCCAAAATACAGATGGATTAACAGGAGGTCAAATCATTAAAAGAAAAAAAAAAGGCTGAAACCAATTTCCCGGCTATAACAGGAAAACACAAATTATTCTTCATACCACGACTGAATGTTTACCCCGTACAGAAGAATGTTGTGATCTAGACTTCACATGGGAAAGAACCCTCTTTGCCATTTCTGCTGCGAAACAGAGGCCTTATCTTGGCCCATCATTTGCTGAAGTTTTTTGTTAATCTGGTGGGGACGGGGCAGTACAAAAGTTAGAATTCCTAATACATTTCTGTGGTGAACATAAATGACAACAGGGTCCACCTGGGTGTTCACGCTACGTTCATTTGAACTTCAGAAGCTGAAGTCTATGGAGCCGAAAGGCACTGAGAATCAATCATGCTCACTAACAGGTGCTGACATGTAAACTGCACGCTGCACCAAACAATGCAATTACTAACTCTTTAGTCATACGAGCATGTACTGAAACATCAAAGACTGTTCCAAAGCGGACCAGAGATGCCTTAGGATGCCACCTGTCAAATTCCCAACCAGGAAATAATAAATCCCTGGTTATCTGTAATAACCAGGAATGGTACCTCCCACTCCTTACCTCCGCACCTCCCCCTTAGATGAGCTGATCACACACTCCTCCAGTCATTGCCCATTATCACCTACAGACCCACCTCAAACCTCTAGTTTTATTTATTTACTCCTGTTTATTCTAAAACATTTAATCTAATATCCTCTCACATGTATAAATTCTTAAACATGTAGTTACTTTATTTTACATGCATGTATTTGTGGTCTGCATGAACAGTAGTGGATTATGTATCTCATCCCATTACTCTTTTTACTCGGCACAATGTATTCAAGTCCCACCTCCGTTGTTTCTGTATGTTACACAGTACTTCATGGGTACATCTGCCAATTTTCAGTCTAGTTTTTAGTTTAGTTTTCCCAGGAAAGGACACCCAGATTGTCTCTATACTCTCATCATGGGCAATTACACTGCACTGAAATTTCAACGTCCACACAGAAGTTCCTGCGTGACCAGAAGCTGACCAGCTGGGGCAAAGAGGACGTCTGTGTCTGACTAAGTGCTGCCAGCTTGCTCTGTAGAATGGCTTCACTGGTCTACACCCCTACCAGCAGTGCCTAAAAATTCTTACAGCCCATACCTCACCCACACAGGATGCTACTGGCATTCCAATTTTTGTTTGTCTAGAAGGTTTATCATGGCCATTTTACTTTGCACATCTCAAAACCCAGGATTCTTAATATTTTTCACATGCTTGTTGGCCTTTTAGGTCTCTCTGACATTCATTAACTGGTCATATCTTTCATCTTGTCCATCTTTCCACTGGGGCTACTTCTGCTTCATTGCAGGAGTTCCCACAATACTAATTCCTTAGAGGGATTAGTTAGTCCTCTGTCCATCTTAAGACACTGGACAATTTCTTTTTTTAAAAGAAAGTTTAAAAGTTGTCTTCCATATTTAACTTTGACAGTGGTATGGTTCATTGAATAGAAAGCACCAATCTTGATGTAATCAAATTCATTAATTACCTTTATGCCTTTTGGTTTGAGCTCGTGATATCCTCTTTTACCCCCAGAACACAAAAATATTCTCCTGTATTTGACTATATTAATTTTATCGCTGTACTTATTTTCACATTTAGGTCATTAATCCTGTGGAGCCCACCTCTGAATATGGTATTATGCATAAATCCAGTATTTCTCTCTATGAAGTGAGAGGTTCCCAACACCTTCTACTAAACAGGCTGTCCCTCCCCTTGGGTTTGTAAGTTATTTTGCTGTACATTAAGTTACCAAATATTTATGGGCCTATTAATGAGCTCTTTATTATACTGATCCATTTCTCTTACTTGGGCCAATATGACATTACTTTATTTCTATGGAGTGGGATGGGGCCTACCTCCACCCATACTGCCTATATTACTCTCTTTTTTCCAAGATTAACTTAGCTACTAGGACTTTTATTTTTCCATAAATATTTTAGAATATGTTTATCATGCTCCTCAAAATATCTAAATTAAATTTTAACTGGACTTTCACATATTAGCTTAACCCATCCAAGAAAATAAGAATTATCTCCATTTGTTTAGATCATCTTCTCTGAATATACATTTTTTGCAATAAAACATACAGCAGTAATGATTTTAATTTGAGCTAAAGAAAAATATTCACCACGTATATACATACCCAAATAAACTGTTTACTTCTTTAAAATTGTAACTTACCAAAGCAGTTATTGCAGGGAAGTTTTTGGACATTTCTCTAAGAATGGTACAAGTCCTAACATCCCATAACTCCAGGGGTTTATCTTTGAATACAACTGCCAGATACTGCCTAAAATAAACAAAATTACTAAATGAAGCTCTTTTTGCAGTATTTTCACCATAAGTAGTACAAATAAAAAGTTCATAAAACTCAGATGACACATTCTAAACGAAGAGAATTTAAACTAACTTTTAGCGCCCTCGTGATTAGTAGTCCTAAAAAGGTAAAGCTCTAAGATGACCTACGAGAGTCACACACACCCTCAGGGCAAGGAACTTAGCTCAGAATGAAGAATGAGAAAAGGCATGAGTTCACATCCAAATCTTAAAATAACCCTCCTGAGGTTTTCAATTTTCTCATTGAGACATGAAAATACTACTACGTGTATCAATGGGCTGATTGGTATGCAGGTTACGGGAAAAACTAAATAAAAAAGGAAGTAAAGTTTCTATCATGCTGACTGTGAGGAACTGTGACAGAGTAGGAAATGTGACGTGTAGCTCAGGGTATCACAGGACTTAAGATTCTCCCACTTGATACCTCAGACAAACTATGTGACCTTTTGAGTGTTAGTCTACTTGAAGCTGTGGTACATATACACCATGCAATATTACTCAGCCATTAAAAAGAATTCATTTGAATCAGTTCTAATGAGATGGATGAAACTGGAGCCCATTATACAGAGTGAAGTAAGCCAGAAAGATAAAGACCATTACAGTATACTAACACATATATATGGAATTTAGAAANTAAATAACTAATATAAATAAAAGAGAACCTGGTAAAGGCTATAAGATTCACTATGAAAGCTGATATTAACTTTGACAATAGGGAAATGGCATTCTAGGCAGAGTTACAAGTGTGATAAATGGCAAAAGAGAGAAAAGGAGAGGGGAAATATGCTACTTGAAATGCAGAGTATGTGAGATGAGAGCAATCATTGTGAGAAAGAAGAATAACGTGAATTTTGAATTCACATTAAAAGCCCTAAGACACCCTAAAATGCAACACTATCGTGAACAGAGATTCATTCTGTAGAGAACAGGGGATCCTTGAGTTTTGAGGCAGTGGTGATAATGTGACCAGACGTTTAAGATGTATTAATTTAGTAGGCTTGTGTAGAGTCAAGACTGACGAGAAATAGAAAAATCTGGCATCCAAATAGTTTGAGCAATTATCAGACTTTTTTGTGGCACAACTCCCTTACATTTGAAAAAATTACTGAGGATCTCCCCCAAAGAACTTTTGTTTATGTGGGTTTTACTGATATTTTGCCTATGAGAAATTAAACCAGAGGGTCAAGTCGTAGGGAATATACTTGTGTTTCACATTTTCCCATCTCCTCTTCCTTGGTCCTTGGCAGATGGAATAGTTTTACTTTTTCTCATTTTCCTCATATGCAAAATAAATACTCAAAAAAGAAGCATCATTGAAGGGCTAGTACAAAGCTGTGCTGGCAGAAACTTATTTCCGGTAGGAAGTGTCCTTGGGTGAGGTGACATTCTATTACAAAGTGGAGGCTTGATTTAATTAAAAGGTCCAATGCTCTTGGTTTAGGATATGGGGCAAGATGTATGCTTTTCTGCCTGGCATACATGTATGCTTTTGTGCCTGGTAGGCACATGATAAATATTTATTGAAGAATTTCTGCAGCCTGAGCCTTATTTGTGGCTGGAGATGACATTTATCTTCATAGCATGCTACGGACTCATCAAATCTTAATGATTTATTGAATCATTATTGTCATGTAATAAAGTTGTGATTGATTTTTAGGAAGGTTATCAGGAAAAATGATAAAATATTATTTATGAAAGATGCTTGGAATAAAAAATTCAATGTAGAGATTCCTCAAAAAATTAAAAATTGAACTACTCTAGGATCCACCTATCTCACTTCTGAGTATTTATCTGAAGAATATGAAAATACTAGTTTGAAAAAATATATGCCCCCCCATGTTCAATGAAGCATTATTTACAATAGCCAAGATATGGCACAACCTAAGTGCCCATCAGCAAATGAAGAAATAAAACATGCGGTATATATACACAATAGAATATTACTCAGCCATAAAAAAGACAAAATCTTGCCATTTGTAACCTGGGTGGACCTTAAGGGTGTTATACTAAGTGAAATAAGTCAGATGGAGAAAGACAAATACCTCATGATTCCACTCAGGTGTGGAATATAAAAGCCAACACACAAAAAGATCTGGAATAAATGAACACACTAAACTAAACCAAAACAAGGATGCAGACTCAGAGAACAGAGCTGTGGTCAGAGGGGAATGGCCAAGATGAGTAAAGAGGACCAACTATATGGTGACTGGCGAAAACGGAAGTTTTGGTGCTGAGACTGCAGTGAATACAAAAATAGAAATATAATGTTGTACACATGAAGCTTACATAATGTTATATCCGTTTTACCTCAATGTAAAATAAATTCTGAGGGCTCCCCTGGTGGCTCAGAGGTAAAGACCTCACCTCCCAATGCTGTAGACACAGTTTCAATCCCTGGTCTGGGAAGATCCCACGTGCCTCGGAGCTGCTAAGCCCACGATCACGGAGCCTATGCTCTAGGGCCTGGGAGCCGCAGCGATGAAGCCTGCACGCCGCAGCGTCCATGCTCTGCAACAGGAGAAGCCACCGCGACGGGAAGCCTGTGCACTGCGACTAGAGAGGAGCTCCCGCTCGCCGGAGCTAGAGAAAAGCCCGAGAAGCAACGAAGACCCAGTACAGCCAGTGAATAAAATTATAAAAACCAAATAAAATTTAAAAGTTCCGTCTAAATANTGTCAATGATTCTGCTTTACATATATTTTTCTTTGGAACAAAAAACTTACTAGAATTAGATCTAAGTTATAAATAAGGAAAATGAATTCTTTCACTCAATAAGCACACACTGAGGTAGAAGCTGAACAAAGAATTTAACCAAATAACAAATAACATTTCCTAGTGAGTAACAGGTAGTTCTATCAATATAGCTATAATTGAACAAAATGGGGTTACTCATTTTACCAATCTGAAATGTTAAGATTCAGATAAGTCACCTTGTCTTTATAGAAATGGCGAATTAAAAGCAATAGCAACTTAATTTTGCAATTAAAATATTTTCTATCATACAGCTGCACATCACAATTTGCTACCATTAAGAAATTCTATGCACATGCATGCATGTTCTCATTTCCTTAAAGATTAAAAAAAAAAAAGTTTGAGATTCTGTTGTGATAACACCAGATTTTTTTTTTTAGGTTGACACTTACTTCAAATGAGATACTTTAATCATTTCGATGGGCGACTCATCATTACCTCGTTCACCACGGAAAGCAATGCTCCTGCCTTTAATTATAAATATTAAACAAAATGTAAAAACAGCATATGAAACGCGTCAGAAACTAAAAGCTGTACCAATGTAATTTGATCAGTGGTACCTTCCAGTCTCCTCCTCACTCTTCCATTTGCTTTAAGCTGTTTCTAATGATCTAAATTCAAAACTAAATCAAAAGTATTATAAGACCAACACTCTATTACTTACATGCAAATATCTACTTTATAAAAAGGTATTTTTATTTTTTTACAGAATTTCTTGACGCCCTTCTGTGGTACCTTTCAAATAATTTAATTTTAGAAATTTAGAAATATTAATTTCTAAAATTTTAATGCATCTATGGTAAAGCAATTATCTACTATAAAAATTACTGGTACGTTCAAAGTATTATAAACATTTCCATGTTTACAAATATTAACTAATGGGGAAAGCACTCTTTGCATAGGTATTTAAGATTTCTTGTGCCACGTGCAAAACACTCAACTACAATATCTTGACATGTTCCTCCAAAGGTCTCTATAAACTGAAATTGGGGAATATTAAGAATGAGTTAACAGCCAAAGAAGTTAAACAGTCTTCTATAACTTAAAAAAAAAAAAAGTTCTATGTTATGTTTGAAAAAATATTTTAATAGCATCTCCTGGATTTCTATTTACATGAAACAAAAGAGAGAAGAGACTCAATTCAAAGACAAATGGATGCCTACATGTCTCCCTGCTCTTCAAGGCCATCACATCTTGAATCTCACTATTATTATTCGCCAAACACCCTACACCCTTTCCTGGCTCTGCTAGTCTGTTGGTCTCCTTAGAAGACAAGGCTGTAAAAATCTATAATTTATGAACTTAAATGTCCTACCTTAAAAAAAGTCAGAATCTTTTACTCAGAAATCTGTTCTTCAAAAAGAAATCTGTGAAAGACAGATTTTAAGTTACCTAAGAGTTCTGAACCTGAGCTGACGGGAAAAATGCACAGGCGTGTTTTCAGTGAAGGATGCTACAGAACAGCATCTCATCCCTGGGCTCCCATGTGACTGCAGTGACCAGTGTCAGCTGGCCAACAAATCAGGAATGCAGGGATATGGGTCACCAGGCAGGTCATCTCCGATTAGACGAGAGCAACACTGGACTAACAGGAGCTAATTCTTTGAGGCTTAGTAACATAATCTGATAAGTAACAACTGTAAATTGTAAATATGTATTGACAATATAAGGAAGCAACCATATACATGATTTACTACACACACATATAACTTATTGGTTGAAACAACATATATTTATATTGCTAAGCCATTAAAAAAAACTCCCCATAATTTTGTTTAAAAAAATGCTTGAAATCATTCCATGTGCTATATAAAAAATAATATAAAACCTTCACCTTACTCTGCTTTTAAGTTCTTATTTTGAAACTGACTGGGTTGTAGGTTTTTAACAATTGTGAACAAGTTACTTTACTGGAATATTTCCTACTGTAATGCCTTTAAACTCCAAAATTAAGTTTTCCTATTAGTTAGCCAGAGAATATCAAAAGTTTCAAAGCTGAGCATTTTAAAACAATCCATGTAAGATTTTTAAGGGTTACCTGAAAAGGCCAAAATTTTTAAAAGAGATTCTAAAAAAGTGTAACTACAAAGATTTATTTTAAAACTGTACTTCTGGTTGGTTATCTGTAACAATGTACTTGGAAGTAGCACTGATATCTCATTTATGAATCTGTCCATTTAGGCTAGTGGTACTCCATGGACTTGTGTTAACACAGTTTGCATACAATGATGAGTCTTTTCTAAGGCAGTTATTATACAGCAACCAAAAAATGAATACATAAACATAAAATATATAAAAATGAATATATAAATGAGAAAAAAATTCCAAGGTGAAAGAAAGAACTTTGAACATGTCTTCTAAATAGCAGCATCTCTGATCAACATGATGGTACCATTTTAAACATTTTAATAGTCTAAATACACAAACCTGTTGGAAGATCAACCAGTTGAAGTTCATTTCTCACTAATCCCATGTTGTTTGGTGTTGAGGTAGCAAAAGAAAGAAAACCAGTTAAACTCGTCCATTCAATACCCCTATATAGAGAAATTAAACAAAGATTAAAATTCTTTGTTTGAAAAATTTATTTGAAAATTGTTTTTTCTATGTCCTAAATCTTATTATACAAGTTAATTAAAGAATAATATTAATACAACATTTGAGAATAAATTATATATTTCCAACATAAAAAAATTATTTCTAATTAAAACTTTATCGCCAAAGATAGCTTAGTTATCAGAAGTCATGGCATTAAAATGACTATTAAAATCTGGCAAAGAGCACCAGATCATTGCCAAGAATTCCACTGTTTAAAACAAGTGGTATAGAAATATTCTGAGCAGACTGCTTAAAGTTGAGTATATGAAGGAACTTTATCAAATTTTATCAAAATTCCTAGCTGGTTAGGAAGCAGAAATTCCTGAAGAAACAGACTGAACTGTTAGACTGGAAGTGGAAGAAAGCGCGAAACAGTGTATCAATTAAAGAAAAGCACAAAAGAAAAAAACAAACATGTATGACAAGACACTAACCTATCAGCCTAATGCCCTGTTGAGTCCCATTTCCTTGGGACTGGCAGTGGGTGAGTCCACGTTTTTTTTCCACTGACATAACTGGCTTAACCAGCAATGGAAAACGAGGGGACTCAGGACATGTGAATTCATCACAGTAGTCACAAAAAGAAACTGCTTACAAGGTAATGGGGTCTCCCTGGTGGCTCAGCGGTAAAGAACCGCCTGCTAATATAGGAGACGAAGGTTTGATCCCTGCCTTGGGAAGACCCCCTGGAGAAGGAAATGACAACTCATTCTAATACTCTTACCTGGGAAATTCCATGGACAGAGGGGCCTGGCGGTTCATGGGGTCACAGAGTCTCTACTACACAAGGTAACAGCTGGCTGGGAGGCAAATCTAAACCTCTGTTCTATATGTGATTGCTCATCAGCACTTACAAGACAACAATAGAATATCAATGGCTGCTTTCAAAATACAATGGCAGGGCTGAGTAACTGTGCCAGAAATTTTATGGCCTACAAAGCTTAAAATATTTGCCTTCTGTCCTTTACGGGAAACGCCTGCTGACTGATCTAATTTTTCCATGTCTACTCTAACTTGAATGCTATTGCTCGAGTTAGCATAATTGCTCTGACTACCTCTCTCACCTGCCCAAGAAAAGGTGTGATGGCTCCTGCATCACATCCACACTGCTCTCTGATTTTCAAAGCTACCCAGCAACACAGATACCTCTCAATCATCTGAACCTGCCTGCTACTTCAGTAAGAGTAACTTTTCCTCACTGATCCCTTGTGTATCTGTCTACTTGTCTTTTCTCAGAGGAGCAAAGATAATCCCAAGAGAACTGAAAATAACATTTGCAAGAGCCGGGAATTCCTGTTATCAACAAATAACACCTCAAAAAAAAAAAACTTGTTGAAACAATCAGATTAGATTGCTGAAAACTGGGCACTCTTCAGGATTTTCATGCCTGGAGTGGTCGCTTCTCCTCTCTTCGACTACTACCTGGTTCAAGTCCCAGCTCCAGCACTTACTGGCTCTGTGCTCCTCCAGAGCTCAGCTTCCTCCTCTGCTGTGGAGCGGTAACAACACTGAGCGCATAAAGCAGCCCTGGCACAGAGTCAGTGCTGCACACTCATCATCACCATCAATTACACTTATTTCGGGATCTCTAACTCAAGCTGCGTTTCTTCATTAAGCCTCTCCATGAACTACACTCAAACCACAGCCATAGTGACTACAATCTAAGTTGGTTAATTATTCACTGGAAGAGTCCCTTTGTCTCTTGTTTCTCTTTCTTTCCCCTAACGTGGAGTACTCATTAATTTTTCTATTTAGAGTGAGCACAATGAGAGAAGAAGCATTTTGGACTTCTGCTCTCTACATAAGTCTGGTAGCTTCGATCAAATCTGTTTACCCACAGAAACCTTAAGATATACTTTTCAAGTCTTGTTGATGGAAATCTGATACTCCGGTATAGTAATGCTGCTATCTCTAGACAGGAAAAATTTCAGTCCTCTCACTTTTCAATTATTATTTTAAAGATACATCTGTTAAGTACCCCATAAATGCTGGTGCCTGTGCTATTAAGTACCCAGGACATGTGAGCAACTTGCCAGGCTAGAGAATACAGCTGCAAATGAGGCAGACTTAACTGCTGTCCTTCAAGAGCCCCATGATCTAGCAGGAAAGAGGCATTATACAAGTGCATCTGGAGTTATCTAGCACAAAACAGAGCAGCGCCAAGTTCAACAGGAGCTTGCATGAGTCACACAGAAATCTGGTCTCATGGGCCAGGTAGGGCTTCCTGGAGAAACATTAAAGCTGAGACTCAAAGGGCAAACAGGGCTTTGCCTGAGAGCCAGAAAAGCTGAGGAAACAGTGCAACTGATGGAGAAGCATGGCTCTAGACATACTCTCTTAGAAGGGAGGTACCTGTCCTGGCAATCCAAGCACATGACAGGCACTCAGCAAATTCTGTTAGATTAAAAGAATGACGTCCAAAAAAAGCCTACCATGCTTCCTTATGTTTCTAAGTGCTGTTCATATCCAGAGAAGGGCTTTCCCCACTGTTTACAGGACATCCCAGTGTTGAGGATATAACAGAACATGAGTGGCTGCTTATTTATAATCGAGCACAAGTATATTGCTTGTGAACAGATTCCAGCAGCAGCTTGTATATCTGACTCCTAGTGAATGACTAAAAAAAAAATAAAAATCACGTTGGACTTCAAAGAGTATGAGATAAGGAGGGGATTATTTCTCAAAAGAAAAGAATGAAAACTCTTGTTAAATAGCTGAGCACAACACTGCTCCCAGGATTAGAAAACCACTGTCCATCTAGGTTTAACCATACACTGAGCTCTATTAAAAAAAACTTGTAAGAACTGCAGCTTGTGTTCTGACTCAGATGATCTAAGTTGGTTTTGTAGCACTCCTCACTACTGAACAACTATAACCTTAAAATCTACCGACAAGTGTTCAGGCTCTGACTTACAGATTCCCAAGTTCTGCCCTGGTCACCTGTACTGGGGATGCCGCCCTGGCTACCTCTCAACACCGGGGAGTCCGAGGGAAGCACACACTTTCTGAAAAACCTTGAAGTTCTTCAATGATATGAAACTAACTTCTGCAAATTTACAGAGGAACAAAATGGAGATCATTTTACTTTGCCCAAATAACTCAATGGACTCAAAGTGATACTAAGTCCATCAGTGTTCAGATACCCATACACATTATAACAATTTTTGACCATGAGCATAATATTGGGCTATATTATTGTAATTTTAGTCTACAGGACAAAGATACCAACTAATAATATAAGAACTCTAATAATCTAAGAACACCTGTATGTACCACTCCATATTGTTTACTTCTAGGTATCTTTCACTGGATTATAAGCCTCCAAGATTTTGTCTGCTTACAGGCACAGAGAAGAGATTCAATATATGTTTCATATTTATAAAGTGTAACTGATTAAAACATCATGGTTTTGAAAAACACACAGATATAAACTATCTATAGTTAGGGAGTTCTTAGGCCATGGGTATGCATAAGACTGAAGTACTTAAGATTAAGTACAAGGTAGAAAAACCACCTTTTGAAAGTTTGTGTTTAATTTACATATGAGTATCTAGAATGTATTGGGTTTATTGCTAATAAGTTCAGCAATTTTTAGAACACATCTGTGAAATTTTCATAATGGTTTTTAATTATAATACTATAATTGCATTAACTGAAACACAAAGACAGCAGTATTTTAGCATCCTCTTGAGCACCATCTCTGGATGTAAAATGTGAATTATCTCTAAAATAGCAATTAACAGGGAAAATTTATATTAAAAAATGAGCATATTTACGAGATCATTCACAACACCAGCCTGACTGAGTAGCATACCCTTGAGAGTTATTTGGTACCCCAAGCAACACTTTATAAATAATTTTTGTGTCAATAACAAATACTATCATAATGTGTAAATCATGTTCTTAGTGACACCTACAACCTGAGCAATCCAGAATAACCATCTTACTTATAGCAAATAGCTCACTGATTAACTAGCTACTGTGTCTTTATTTAAAACTTCATATTGTGGTGATCATTTCACCACACATACAAGTATTATTACACAGTATATCTGAAACTAATATATCTTACTGCATCTCAATATAAATAAATAAATAAGATCTCAGTGTTTAGAAAAAGATGAAAATGTGCTTGATTTCCCAGAAGCATGTACCAAATTCTTGGTATTAATCTTGGCTTAGTCAACATTTTTATTTTACTGCCAAACTGTTTCCAATTAATCTACGTGAATTTTTTTATCTGAAGACCCAGCACATGGATGCTACAAGCTCAGTTCTGAAGCCTAAAAGGCATAGACTGAATTCCATATACCTTTTCACAGATGACTTTACAATACTGTTTCTTCTTCTGTAAATTGGGAACAATAATAGTGCCTACTGCACAGAGTTGTAGTGAGGAATCAATGAAACAACGAAAGCAAAGTATTAATATTTAACATAATCCTTAGAACAAGTATTGATTAAATGATGAGTTTTGATTCATTGCTGTTTGCCATAAAAGGGAACACTACACACAAAATCCAAGGGTGAGAGGAAATGTCAATACAGATGGGAAAGAAAGGGAGAGAGAAGGTATCAGTGGCAGCAGGGACTACTGGAAGGAGAGAGAAAGATGACCAACAATCTGAAAGAATCCAAATAGATACCCAATGTTTTTGAAGACATTATTCCTCCATGTAGGTGTATTTATGGAGATACTGGGGGGCAGTGGGGGGAAAGAGCATAAAGTGACGATAAACAGTAACTTAGGCTATACCAAAAAATCATGCATTTGAAAGATTAAGGCAACATTAACTCTCAGAAACTTCCATCACAATCAGAAGTTGTGATACTTAAAGCTCTGACCTTTCCCATTTAGAAAATGCATTTATTCAGAATAACGTGTATGCTAAGGGTTCACCAAGAATTTTAACATATACATGAGGCCTATAATTTATATAATATACAGAAGTAAGAAAATAGCCTGATACATTTGTTCCAAAATCACCCAAAAATAACCGAAGATTAACAAATTTATATTTTACATGTGTAACTTTACAATCTGTCATTACCAGGGCAAAGAAAATAAAACAGTCATGTGATCAGCAAAATAATGCTATGGAGCAGGAAGGTATATGCTTTTTATTTTTATTTTTATTGGAGTGGGATATAATACTTTAAAATATAGAGCAAGAGGCTTCCTTCTGACCCGTTAGCCTTCCTCAGATACCTTTGCATTCAGAGAACTCATAAAACAGGTCATAAGTCAAATGAAAGAATAAATGACATTAATTAAAAATTAAAGTGACTTTACTCAAATTTTTCATCAGAAGTCCTACTATAAGATCTTTACAGAAGTGGAAAAAAAACTATATAACTGGAACAAGGAAAGAGAGTTATATCCAGGAAGAAAATAGCCTAGATCTTAGGGGAAATAAGTAAGATGCAGAAATAAAGTGAGAAAAAATTCTCCACTGAATTAAGGTCCTCTAGGAAGTAAACAGTTAGTATTCATCCTTGATGAACACAGTCATTAGTTGGACAAGAATATCTATTATTCAAAGCTTTCAGTCAAATAATCACTGCAGAGCATTCCATGTAGAAAAGTCTGTAAGAACTTTCTTGATATTACATATGTTTATGAGCTCAATATCCCAATGACAGACTCACTTGACTTCACACGAATGGATGCTTAACTCCTTGTGCAGCAGCCCACTAGTGAGATGGTACACCAGGACAGAACCATTGCTTGTACCTATCAAAATGACATGATAGAGGAGAATTAATTTAGTGGAAGTTCCAGATCTAACGAAAGTCTTCTCTCAAGATTTTAATCATTTTAAAACATCTATCTTTTATAAAAGGAACCTAAGCTAGGTGTGAAGGAAGAGTATATTTCTCTATCTTCCCTCTTTGCAAAATGGGTCTAATCTCACGGACTTTGTGCTGCGCTGTGCTTAGTCACTCAGTCGTGTCCAACTCTTTGCGACCNCTTATATACTTAAAAAGCAAATTAAAATTGGGTTTTCTCTGTAAAAGAAACCAGGTTAATCATATTACCATGAAATTACTGTGACAGCAAGCTGAAACCCACACCAATTTTTTTTTAATCTAAAACATAAAAATTGCAATTTCAACCCAGAAGGCAAATCTTTAGTTTACAAAGACAAGAGCCACTTTGAACAAAATAAAACCAGGTTTAACATACAATTCTTAGCAAATACAGATCCTTGCTGATGCTAAATATTAACTTTGACCACATTGTTAGCTAACAAAAACTCAAAACAAAATGACATGTACAGAAAGAGCCTGAGATGGCCCAAGAAAAAACCAGCAGTCTGGTTTCAGCATCACACAGGAACTACCCTCCTGACCTTTCAAAAACACACCCCTGGTGTCAGAATCTCTGTAATCTGCTGTCGGTGAATGAGTTATTGTTGTGATTTAAAAAGATTAACCGTTATTATTGTGATTTAAAAAGATTAACAAGACAGGGAAAAAAAGTACCTCAAAATGAGCATTTACACAATTTCATGGAGCCTCTTCCTCCACTTAAAGCATTCTAAAGGAGAATAAAGGATTTTCTAATAACCAGGAAACTTTAATGTCTTAAAAATGTAAAATAGACATTAAGAGTTAAAATAGGAACTCACCAACAGCAAGCAACGGCTGATACATCTTGATGTTTTTTGTGGTCAACGGGGGGCACATACGGATAGCGAACTGTGGGGAGGGCAGTCCCGAAAGCAGACCTGTTAGCAGGAACTTGAGCTGCACTTCCTGCAGAATGGAGCCTTTGGGATGTTCTTCCCCAGCAATTGCACTTTGCCCTGGTTTGCAATAAAACAACAACAAAAAATACATTAATTGCAACATATGCTGATCTTAAAAATCTAAAGGAACTTTACCAAGGAAGTACTCTTCAGATCTAGAAGGTGTCGCGCAGCACTCGGGCTTAGCTATACACTAGGTCTTATTTAGCTATGGGACTTAATTTGTATCATCTAATATCTCAAAGGTTCAATTACTCCAGAGTATTGCTATCCATAATTCAGGGGCCTTTATCTTCTAAGAAACACTTTTAGCCAAAGGTGCTGGCTTCAGGGCATCAAAGGCAAACAGAGAAGGACTAGGGTTAGAGAATAACTTCTGTACATGACATATTACAGCATATTCCTGTCTCACTGCCTTCCTAAAGGGTTATGTTTTGATCTGATGCTCTTTAAAGTGCACATAAAATTGGTAAACAAAAATAGGTTCAAAGAGCTCAAACCAGTCAAACCTAAAGGAAATCAACTCTGAATATTCATTGCAAAGACTGATGCTGAAGCTGAAGCTCCAATACTCTGGCTACCCGATGCAAAGAGTTGACTCACTGGAAAAGATCCTGATGCTGGGAAAGATTGAGGGAAGGAGGAGAAGGGAACGACAGAGGATGAGAAGCGTGGATGGAATCACCAACTCAATGGACATGAGTTTGAGTAAACTCAGGGAGATAGTGAAGGACAGGGAAGCCTGGCTTTCTGCAGTCCACAGGGTCACAAAGAGTCGGAAACAACTTTGCAACTGAACAACAACAAAATGTGACTACAAAAGAGTGCAGCAAAATTGAAACTTTAATTCACTAATAAGGGTTTAAAATTTTTCTTCCTTTGTGTGTGTTAAGTTGCTTCAGTTGTGTCCAACTCTTTCTGACGCTATGGACTATAGCCCACCAGGCTCCTCTCTCCATGGGATTCTCCAGGCAAGAACACTGGAGTGGGCTGCCATGTCCTTCTCCAGGGAATCTTCCCACCCAGGGATCAAACCTGTGTCCCTTATGTCTCCTGCACTGGCAGGCAGGTTCTTTACCACTAGCACCACCAAAAGACTGGGACAAAGTTATCACACAAGAATACGTGTGAGTGTGTGTGCATGTGTGTTTATCACAGGTGGTGCTACTAGTAAACAACCCACCTGTCCATGCAGAAAACACAAGAGATACAGGTTCAATCCCCTGGGTCAGAAAGATTCCCTGGAGTAGCAAATGGCATCCTACTCCAGTATTCTTGCCTGGAAAATTCCATGGGCGGAAGAGCCTGGCTGGCTACAGTCCATAGGGTCACAAAGAGTTGGACACGACTGAGCACAAGCACGTATTAGTACATGTGTGTGTATATATAAGTACACACACATACACACATACTGTGAAAGGGAAAAATGTAAATAATTATTCAGAGTGAGTGATGGGATTCTAAATAAACCTCTTAAACCGGTCAAGTTGTTCTAACAAAATGTTATTATAAAATCGGTAAGATATACACAAAAAATAAGGATCAACTGAATCTGAATAAATGATCCCTTAGTATAAGCCACACAACTGATACTCATTTTTAGTAACAAAGATGGGTCTAAAGCAATGGCAACAAGTAGGTGCCATGTTTACCAACTTTTGGCAGCTTGGAGCTGATTCCAGGAAACTGCATATTTCTCTTCCAGCATTTTCCATGTGAAGTGATTCATAAAGTAGGGTAGATTAGGCCTTAATAAGCAACAGCCTTTACTCAAAGAATATAAATCAGACCTCTGTACTTAACTGAATTGCTTTCAATTATCACTAAGTACACAGTGAATTTCAAATTAAAAGTTTTAATTAAAATGTTTTCAAGTAACAAAGATTTAATTATTTAATACTTTCAAATCAACAACATTGTCAAGAATTGCTATACAATCTGTATCATTTTGTCCCCTAAAAAATGTAATTTATATCACTTAGATACCTAAACAGCATAAAATTTCAAACTCCTATGGGCTTCATATTGCTGATTAGTTCTATGCATGTGTGTTCATAATTCTTTTCACTTTAATAGTTTATATTAAGTGCAGACAGGGTCAATTAACTCAGAAAATTATGTTACTAATAAAATAAATTTTGCAAAACAATTATGTGTCTGAACTTCTTTATAGGGATTTATGTCTGAAAGGTGAGAAGAAAAAATCTGAAGTATGTAAGTTAGCATCAGTGAGCACAAAGATTCCAAAACTGGCAGGAATTATGAGAATGCCAGGGTATGGAGAGCTCAAGCCTTGCTGCGGTCACAGTGAAGCAGCCCGGACTAGAGGTCATGGCCAAGAAGCAGACTCCAGACTAGGATGATTATGAAGGTGGTTGTTGAACACGCAAAGACGCCGGGATTCTTGGCCTCTGGAGGAGGAATTCAATCCGGGGCCAGAGACGAGGTTTGATTGCTCAGAGCTTTTGTGTAGTGAAGTTTTATTAAAGTATAAAGGAGATAGAGAAAACTTCTGACACAAGCATCAGAAGGGGGCAGAAAGAGGACCCCCTTGCTAGTGTTAGCCATGGAGTTATACACTCTCTAATTAGTTATTACAGTGAATCAAAATAATGTCTGGAGGTTGTAAAGACCTCACTAGACCTACTCCCATAGTTTACACCTTAAGATAACAGGATTAGCCAGAAGCTATTTTCCAAAGACTATCCTCAAGCAGGATACATTATTGTTATATAATCCTAAGGAATGTAGAGGGACAAAAAAGTTTGATCCTTTCTTCCTCCTTGAGAATTCCAGACCCTTCTCTCCTTGGGGACCCCTGGACTTCTTACCAATCTGCCTAGAAATTGATTCTCTCAATTATGACCACATTTCCACTTACCGGCTGTGTACTTTGGGGCAAGTGTTTTAATCTCTCCGGGTCTTAGTTCCCACATATATAAAACAGAAATAATAATAATAGTACCTAGTCCACAGGGTTGTCGAGGTATTACATAAAGAATTTGAGACAGCATTTAATACAGTATTAAACCCCCAATAAATGTCATCTCTGATTAAGAAGATCAATAAGCTAATGCTCTTCTTTCTAGTATATCATTTCTCTTTATAGCATTTAAACAAACAAAAAGAAACCTAGTTAATAATGTCCACATTTAATTACATTATGGAATAACAAATAATGGTAAAGAAAATCCTTTATAGACCACTGGCCACAATTTTAAGTGAATTACATGTCAATTCTGCTTGGCATATTTATAATTCCTAGTTGTGTAATATTTGAAATCACCAACCCTCATTCTTCCTTGACTATATTCTGGCTCTATAATAACTAGATAAGTAAGTCTGAAATAATTTATTTGCAAATAAATATCTGGTGAAAGTAAGAATTCCCAACATAAAAATAAGAAAATGTAAGTCAAGAAGATGATTTTTTTCTAATACTGCTCAGTTAATTATTTCTTCAATAACTATTTACTGTACATCTAGAATGGGCAACACCCTGTGCTGAGTGCTGGGAATGCAAGGCTGAACGAAGCTCTGTCCCACCCTCGTGGTACGAATAACCTACGGGAAGACACAGACAAGTAAGACCACAGTGACAATCGGCAGGTAACTCTCAGGACCACATAAGTTTTATTTATTTTACACCCATCTGATTTATCAGAAAAGAATGAATCTACATTTTAGTTTTCTGAAGTATTAACTTTTATTTAATAGTAACTACAATCACAATTAATTTTGCCCTTCAAAACGTATACCTAACATGAAAGTTAGAAGGGAAAAAAAAAAGTGGCTTACCAATCATGTTATCTAAGGAGAGGTCTGGGAGTTTATTCTGTAGGACTCCTACAGGAATTCCACAGAAAGACACTGGTGAATATAAAGGTGACACGCCAGAACTACTGCAAAGATATAATTAGACAGTTCTTACATATTTAAAGTCTGCATCATATGTTAGTAACTCAAATTACTAACTTTGGATCACAGTACTCTATCCATTTTTTACACTAATATTTTAAACCACAGGTGAAATATCTCTAGGAGGTTTACATAATTCCCTTATAATCTAATGTCTAAATATTTTTTACAGAAAAAAGGCCCTGCTATTTTTATATGATTCTGGCAATCTTAAAAAGGGGGGAAAGCAAAGCAAAACAAAAAAGAGACCCTACTGGCTCCTTTACCTGCTCCGTGAATTCCGATTACAAACAGCAGACTTCAGTTCCCATATCATGACCCTGCCATCGCTTACTACGAGAGCAGCTGCGTTCTCATTGACAGGACAACACACCATACTGAAGGGACGGACAGTTTTTGTCACCCTGATTGCATCACACTGGCTTCGTAGGTCATAGGTAAGCTCCTGGACAGGATCTGGATCTTAACAAGAGTATTGTTTTCTTTAAGTATTAGAAGGCAACCATATTAATGTCACTGCCACTTGTTTCAATGTAAATAATACCTCAACCAAAAAGAACATCATCCCTTCTTCAACTAAGGCAAAGTTTGTCAAAAATGGCTTTCCTGTGTTTACAATTACTAATTTCTTCGGGATATAAGACAATTAACTTAATGACTGTCCACACCAAGTTTAATGCCCATAATAGCAATTATCAAAATAGCTTATTTATTATTTTTTAAAATGAAGAAAATCCTTCAAAAAAGGATCAACAGTGATATATGATTAAACAATGAACAGTGCACCTGCAGCCCATCATAATAATTTACTGTGCTCTACATCACGATGGTGTGCTCACTCACCTAGAGCCAGACATCCTAGAATGCGAAGTCAAGTGGGCCTTAGGAAGCATCACTACGAACAAAGCTAGAGGAGGTGATGGAATACCAGCTGTACTATTACAAGTCCTAAAAGAAGATGCTGTGAAAGAGCGTCACTCAATAGGCCAGCAAATTTCAAAAATTCAGCAGTGGCCACAGGACTGGAAAAGATCAGTTTTCATTCCAATCCCAAAGAAAAGCAACATCAAAGAATGTTCAAATTACCACACAACTGTACTCATCTCACATGCTAGCAAAGTAATGCTCAAAATTCCCCAAGCCAGGCTTCAACAGTACATGAACTGAGAACTTCCAGATGTTCAAGCTGGATTTAGAAAGGCAGAGGAACCAGAGATCAAATTGCCAACATCTGCTGGATCATCGAAAAAGCAAGAGAATCCCAGAAAAACATCTACTTCTGCTTCACTGACTATCCACACTGAATGTGTGGATCACAACAAATTGTGAAAAATTCTTCAAGAGATGGGAACACTAGACCACCTTAACTGCCTCCTGAGAAATCTATATGCAGATCAAGAACCAAGTTAGAACCAGACATGGAACTAGACTGGTTCCAACTGGGAAAGGAGTACGTCAAGGTTGTATATTGTCACCTTACTTATTTAACTTATATGCAAAATACATCATGTGAAATGTTGGGCTGGATAAAGCATAAGCTGGAATCAAGATTGCCAGGAGAAGTATCAATAACCTCAGATATGCAGATGACACCATCCTTATGGCAGAAAGCAAAGAAGAACTAAAGAGCTTCTTGAAACTGAAAGAGGAGAGTGCAAAAGCTGGCTTAAAACTCAACATTCAAAAAATGAAGATCATAGCACCCGGTCCCATCACTTCATGGCAAATAGATGGGGAAACAACGGAAACAGTGATAGATTTTATTTTCTTGGACTCCAAAATCACTGCAGATGGTGACTGCAGCCATGAAATGAAGATGCTTGCTCCTCTGAAGAGAAGCCATGACCAAAATAGATAGCATATTAAAAAGCAGAGATATTACTTTGCTGAAAAGGTCCATCTAGTCAAAGGTATGGTTTTTCCAGTAATCACGTACAGATGTAAGAGTTGGTTCATAAAGAAGGCTTAACGCTGAAGAATTTATGTTTTTGTACTGTGGTATTGGAGAAGGCTCTTGAGAGTCCCTTGGACTACAAGGAGATCAAACTAGTCAATCCTAAAGGAAATCGGTCCTGAATATTCATTGGAAGGACTGATGCTAAAGCTGAAGCTCCAATACTTTGGCCACCTAATGCAAAGAAGTGACTCACTGGAAAAGACCCTGATGCTGCGAAAGACTGAAGGCGGGAGAAGAAAGGGACAACAGAGGATGAGATGGCTGGATGGCATTGAATCTATGGACATGAGTTTGAGCAAGCTCCAGGAGTTGCTGATGGATAGGGAAGCCTGGCGTGCTGCAGTCCATAAGGTTGCAAAGAGTCAGACATGACTGAGTGACAGAACTGAATAGTAAGCCTAAAAATAATTGTATTTTATGAAAGATGTGAAAGTCACTTTCACCTTTGCAGCACACATCATTCCATTAAAAACATCAGTTTTATTCTCCAGGATAAGATTGAAAAAGACAACTGAATGCCCTGAAGACAACCTATGCTACTTTACCATGGAAGTGACACAGGTTTAAGACATTCCTTCCTAAAGCAGAAGAAAAGTCAAAGGGGTGTAATAATAAAGGTATATACAAGGTTGGACTTGTGATAAAGAAATAGTCACAAAAGATAAAATGCACTTGGCTCACGGATACAGTCAAGAAGGGATTACAAAATACTACTATTTTTGCTGCATTACAGGAGGTGCGCTGTCGTAACACCCAGAGACTATCCGGGGTTTGTGCTTTCTCATGCCTCATACTATAACCATATTCTATTATCTTAAGGCAAGGATTATGATTAACTCCATGCTTTGGCTACTATTCACCACATAAAGCATTATAAAATAATTCTAAAGAAAAATAAAGTGAACATTATCATGAGATATAAACTTACCTGGTTCCTCATTTGAAGTGGTGAAAATACTACTGTAAGATCTCCGAACACGTAAGGTTATACAACCATTTTCATGTAGGCAAAATAAACCATCACGTTGAAAGCAGGGAATTACCTTTAAATAGATGATGTATTTAGTTTTTAAAACAACATATTTTAAAATTATATATATGGTGAGACTCATAAACTCATTATTTACAGAACACAGGCAAAAAGTAAAACAAAAACACAAAAGCACACATATAATCCCCTAATCCATCAATCCTAAAAAAATCTGTTTTTATTCATGTATCTTAAATAGTTCAGTATCTATCTCCAGATCTGTGAGAAGAATTTCTAAGGTTAAATCAAACCAATCAAAAATCCAGGAAAATAAGGAATGTAAAATAACATTGTCAATCTTTAAATAAATAGAAAAAAAGTGAAAACTAAGGACTTTTACAGGACTGTGCAAAAGTATAGATTATCTTTCTCTATATAATTCATAATCAACTTTTGGTGATGTAATTTGTAAGCTGTAGATACCTGCAGAAAAGGAACTCCTGTCCGCTCTATTGCAATCACACCCACTGTCTGGTTCACCTCAAGATCGAGGATTAAAATCTCACGAGGATAGAGCAGCAACATGTGATTCCTTTTGGAAGGCAGATATGCCAACTGAAGGCAATCATTGAGAGTGATGAATTCTGCACTGGAAAAAGTAAACATTTACTTCAGGCATCAAGAAATGAGTCAGACTCACACATGAACATATGTACGAAACAGATACAGACCCACAGACATGAAAACAAACTTACGGTTACCAAAGGTAGGGTGGCAGTGAGGGAGGGATAAATTAAGAGTTTGGGATGGGCAGATACAAACTACTCTATATAAACAAGGTCCTACTATATGGCACAAGGAACTAGATTCAATATCCTATAATAAACCACAATGGAAAAGAATATGAAAAAGAAGAGTAATATAATATGTATAACTGAATCACTTTGCTGTGTGTGTGTGTGTGCATGTGCATGTGCAGGCACTGCATCACTCAGTCATGTCCGACTCTTTGCAACCCCATGGACCACAGCCCGCCAGGCTCCTCTGTCCACGGGATTCCCAGGCAAGAATACTAGAGTGGGTTGCCATTCCCTTCTCAGGAGATCTTCCCAACCCAGGGATAGAACCCAGGTTTCTTGCATTGCAGGCAGATTCTTTACTGTCTGAGCCACCAGAGAGGCCCCATGTAATATAATACGTATAACTGAATCACTTTGCTGTATACCAGGAATTAACACAACACTGTAGATCAACTACACTTCAATTTTAAAAAATGAATCAGACTTTATTCATATCAGAAAAAGCTAAAAAAGGACTGAATTTTGTACTCTCCACATAATAACCATCAATGAGAATATACAACCGTCTCCTGAAATAACCAACATGAGCTAGCATCTAAAAATTAGATCTCTCCTTTGTGCCAAAATCCAAATTATGACAACAACATTGGATAGGCTAGAGAGACAAGTTTCCAAATCACTGAAAGTTTAAAGTAAACTAGTAAGTCTATGATATGAGATGGTAAGTGACAATACTACACAGCACTCATAAAATAGTACTATCATTCTTATTTTGTAATCAGAACTACTAGATGGACTGCTGAAAAGAAGCCTTGGAATTAAAACAAAAGCATTTAGAGTAATTAGGGCTAGACAACTGGATCAGGAGTCAATGGAATAGCTGTTTGGCCTTGAGCAAGTCACTTCCTCTACTCTGCCTTCCTTCACTCTTCAACTGTCTTTTTATTTTTGGAACAAAGTTGGGTATTTTATTCACTTACCACAGAATTTTCTTCTGTGTAAATAAGAGAGATGAAACAACATTAGGACTGTAAAGATTGTTGAAGAGTCTCAAAAATCATTTCAGTAATTTGTGATTGTTGTATATACTTAATCACAACTTTGTATTTATAATAAATTTACATATTTATATTTATTTCAATAGGAATGGGCATATAATTATGTACCATCTTCTTTTTACATAATAATTTTATTAAGGTTTTGAAATTTAAAATAAAGTTAGATCAGAGGACCATGGAGAGGGATGTGGACTGCATTAAAATTCTGGCTCTGCACTTCACAGTTGGGCAAGCTTAAATAACAAATTTTAAAAATGTAAGACTCAATTTCCTCATACAGTTGAACATATGATTTACACGAGAGAAAATACATTATGTAGGTCATAACTTATAAAACTATGATACAGAATAACTGCAAAAGAAATGAGTTCTTAAGATACTTAAGGAGCAATCTTCAATCATTTCGGCATAGGGTGGGGGATAAATTAGGGATAAATTTAACCAGCCTATGGTTTACTATATAAAACTGATCTTTACACATCAGTTCAGAATTTGTAGAGCAATTTGTATTTTACCATATGTTTTTTAGGTAATTACCCACAAAGTTTAGATAGAATAATCTTAGCATATTAAAAATAAAAGCATTTTTAAAATTTCTGAAATAAACAAAAATAGCTAGCATTTACCAAAAGAATGCTTATTAAGTATCAGATATTATGACAAGGAGTTAAGTTTCTGTATCTATAAATCTTTACAATAGCCCTATGAAATCCTTTAAAACACTATGTTGGCTAATTGGAAAAGTGAAACCTGGGAAAGATTAAAGTATACTCCCAAGTCACAGAGCTATAGTTCCCCTAGAATCTTGGCCCTTAACCACTGTGGGAAACACCTTTACATGCAGAAGAAAAACACCCATATTTTACTGGCTAATGACATTACACAGCATTTAAGTCAGGAAAATGTATTTAAAATCATAATCCACTTTTGCTCCCCAACTTTTAATGTGCTCAGTGGCCCCCATCTTAGAATCTTTCTCTCTCATTTTCAGAAGTCAAAGATGTTCTCTGTGAAAATTGGTGGGGGGCGTTTACTGCTTTACTGGAAACAAAGGAACCATGTTAAGTGCTAAATCTCTTCTTAGAGGAGGAAACAAAAAAATATTTTTCCTCTTATAAATTCAAAATTAGAAACAAGAAAGGGTAACATGAACAAGAAAATCAACCTTAATACATCTCCAAAAATGATATTTTCAATAAACAGATAAACACTGAATTACATGAATGTTACTGCTAGTTTTATACTTGCAACTTACCTAGGTTTCTCTTGAGTGATTAAGATTTTCACTTTATTAAGAGCCTTCTTGGCCCCTGTGGCTGCAGCCAGCTTGTTGTGAGCTGGGCTGGAGTGTGGACTGGATATGTAAACTTTTTTCCCAGGGCCTGAGGGAGGCTTGGATGGAGAGAAATCTGAGATGAATACAATGCCCTCGCTGGTGAGTACTGTACTGAGAGAAGTGAAACTCTGATTAAAGTTTAATCAAGTTTAGCATAGAGTTTTATTCCAATACACTTTTGAGAGCAAGGTAATGATAATTTTAATAATAAAGAACTGGCAGTATTATGCAGACATAACATAATGGGAATGTTCTCCAAGTTAAAGGGAAACAGGTGGTCCATTACAATTCATCAGAGGCCTCCAAGCTCAGTGCTCTAAATTAATGTTTTATATTAAAAAGATACCAGAAGGTTACTGGCAGAAAGAGCAAATGTTTGTTCTTCCAAATAAATTCAGTGGACAGACTTTCATTAGAAACCTTTCCTCATTATATCTCGTAACTTCAAAATCCAAAGACTTTCAGAATATAAAATTCACAGAAGAGGGGGAAAAAAAACCCATATATGAGGTTCTGCATACCACAGTTGGCAAGTTCAAATATTTAACTTGCTGATACTAATTTTTTATCATTACCATGAGTTGCTCTGTCTAAATTTACTTCCTTTTTCTTCTTGAGTGTCAAACTGAAGCTCAGGATATGCAAAGAGTGTTTTCACTTAATATCTAGAGTAAAAGTGCCAACAGTGGCTTACTAAGTGTACAGGAAACAGAAATATTTTATGCCTTTTTATGACTGAAAAAATAATCCCCCTCACAACTGGGGCCAACTAACACCTATCTGATCATAAAAATCTTATCTACCCTGGCTCCTGGCAATGAGTGAGGCTGCTTTAAACACAGGGAACAAAGCATTCAAGAATTATGACAAACCCAGCACATTCAGTGAGCAAATTAAAGACGTTAGGTCAACTGATGCTTTGAAATCTTGTGCTTTCATCAACTAAATTACAGAGATGCAGTAAATTAACCTGAAGCTTTGTCTCCATTTCAGATTACAGAAGGCATCCTTCAAGGGTAAAGTCTGTCCCCTCCTTCTGTGATGTCCTCACTCCCTGACTGTCAGCCAAGCCTTGTTCTCAGGGCTCCCACAGCATTGCCTTCCACAGCAACCCAATGAGTGCATACATATGTGCATGTATACACATTTACACACACAAAGCCTAAACACACCATATTGCAGTTATTTACACAGCTGTGTTTCTCATTTTAATTCCTACTTGTCTGACCTTCTGTCCCTCCATCAACTCACGTACCCCTCAATAAATACTGGAATACAAGTTGGAATTTTGAGTCATTCAAATCCAGGGAAAACATTCTTTACCATAGTAGATTCCCTCATCTAAGTTGTTGATCAAATATCAAAATGAAACCTACCTTGACCACTTTATCTAATACAACAAGCCCACTCCCACTCCCTTTATCTTATTTTTTATACCACTCATAATATATTGCAGTGTACCAATTCATTAAGCCCATAGGTTACCACCTAATTCTTGCTCACTAGAATGCAAACTTTATGAAGGCAAGAATCCTTGTCTTGGTTCACTGATATATTCCAGACTCCCAGAACACTCCTGGCATATAGTAAATAAAAGCTCAAGAAATATTTGTTGGATAACTGAATAAAAAATATTTTCTAAATAATTCAGTCACAAAAATATCTGTCCACAATTTGATTTTTAGATCAGTGGCTCAGTAAAACATTAAAGTATACTGGCAAAAACAGTCTCTGCCAGAAAAAACTCCCTTGGGCTTAGTCTGTTCCTGACATGCATCTGTTTATGGCACTCAAAAGGCTTGGAACGAATTAGAACAATATTTTGAAAAAGAAGAAATGAATTTGGCCACAGACTAAATGAAACCCTTGACTCAGGTTCTTTTGATGTTCCTAGAAAAAAAATTTAATTAAGTCTGAATTAGAATAACACAGCAACTCTCTCGTTCTCTGACTAATCTAATTCTGATCACAAATTTCACACAGAGAAGGTCTAGCTTGCTGATTTAAATTTCTGAACACCAGAATACTTGCAAAAAATATGGGTTATGATTTAGTATCTGTACTAGGAGCTGGAAAGATTATGAACTAGATGTGCTTCTCATTTTAAGACGTATGATGTATGACTGGGTGTGTGTCAATGTGTATCTTATGTATATAGCATTAACCATATATATTACAAATACCTCAATTCATTTTCCACAAGAAACTAGTACTCACAAGTTAAATGTGAGGGATCAAAAGGATCAAAAGAAAAAGAAAGAATGTTATCTGCATAGCTCTTCTTCCAGAGTTTGGTGCCAGTATCTGCATTCCAGAGCACAATGTAATTTGGCGGATGGATAGCAAGCAATAAATCCCGGGAAGCATCTTGATTCCATAACCACTGAACATCTGCAAAGACCAGATAAATAAAGGCAAAATTCAGAAATTATCCACTTTAAAACACTTGGTTAATGTATCCTTTATATCTAGTTGTGTGTATGTGTTTTCATAATCCTTAAAATCTTAACTTTCCCCCTCCTCTTCAATGTTGCATCTAAGTGTATGTGTCAAGATTGACAGGGAAAACTAATTTTACATAAAAATAAGCTGCCTGAACATTAGAATCTAGAGGTTAGCATTTCCAAGTAATCTGAAATATTACTTCAAAGAAAATACAAGGCAATTTACACTATTCATTAGTTAAAACTTTATGTCAAAGACTTGTCCTAGCCATGATCAATGTCAGACTCTCCTAATGTTTTTGTGGAGTTACTTAATGGGACTTTACAGAATTGCACATTTTTTCATGATAATAAAGAAGTTAAAGATCTAGTTCAATAGGTACAGTAAGTACTCAATAAGTATTTTTTTAACAGTCATTTAAAAGATTTACCCAGTCAAGAGAGCCACTCAGTCAAAGCCAGGAATACTGTATTGATTAGGTCAGTAACATAAGCAAGCAAACAAATGATCTATTGATATATGAAAATGAGAACACTTTATCTCTATTAACAGAAAGTAAGCATTGAGGGCTAATTCAAAGGAGCAGTTCAGGGGAGTTTATTTATAGCTTAGATTTACAAGGCCATTTATAAGGAGCTTAATTTTTCTCTTCATGCTCAACTGAAGGCAAGGTTGAAATTAATGCATTTTACCAAAGCACAAATCAACTGAGATCTGAGGAAATAAGCCCAGAAGTGTATTGATAAGGAAAAGAAAGTTAGCTTCAGATCCACAGAACTGGCTATACACAATCAAGAGGTAACTTGAGAAGTGATGAAAGTAAATGAAAGGGACAAAAACCAACCGCTCTAACAGTAAGTGTATTAACACAGACGCTCGGCCGAGCGTGGACTTTCCTCACCCTGAATAGGCTTGGCATGCTCTTGGATCTCACACTGCGCTACTCCTGCTGCTACATCCCAAACGATGATCTTTCCATTGACATCAGCAGAAGCTAAGCGCAAGGAATATGGCGAGCCAATGTTATGATGATAATTTTCCCTGGCCCATTTAACCTAGTATCAAGAAGAAACCAAATCAAGTAAATACTTGCACTGGATGTAAACCATATATAATTTTCATAAAACACTGACCAGAACTCAAAGCTACATTCTACACTTATATTACAAAAATAGGAAATTAGCTTCCTCAAAAGTCAGACATTTTTATTATGATTTCTTAAAGTCGCAATTAAAATAGTTTTGAAAATATCACAACTTTATTGCCTTTAAAATATCAGAAATGAGACACAGCCTTAATAATCTGAAGAATTCAAGTAAAAATTCCAGAATACCATCTCTTAAAATGGTATGATCACTGGTATAACATCTAATCACAGTAAAGACCATAAAATCTAATTCTGACAAAACACGTAAAATTCTAAATTGTTAAGAAGAATCTTCTCTTGCATTCTATTCTTCTAATAAAAAGGAAACTTGAAGCTACAAAAATCCTGCAAAAGGAAAACACAAAATCAAACAAAAAATCTGGGTATCCCTCTCATAAAATCGGAAAAAAATTGTCAACAGGTTTTTCTCTAAAAAATTTATGCATCATACTTTCTATAATAACATTAATAGTTTTTTAAATAAAAAATACAAGAATCCCAGCACAAATCAGGTTAATTCCTGAGCACTGAACACTGACAGAATCAGGAATAAAACAGAGTCCTGACTCTGAGCCAAGGTCTTCCCTGGCCGCAACCTCCCTTTTCTAGCTCAGCGTCCTACTTGCTCACTTTGGATCACTTCCCACATAATACTCTGTAATTATTTTATTTACTTTGTTTTGACCTATCACAGTCCCGCTCCATATGGCAGGATCATGGGGGCCTTGCTCACATTTCTATTCCCAGACCCTAACACAGTGCCTGCAGTTGACATTCAAGTATGTGTTTAGTAAACAAACTTAACACTACAGACTCTTCAAACATATACCTATATTTGAATATATAGGCATATACCTATGTACATACAAATGTATGTACACATAAAAGTAAACACACTCAGAGAAAATGCTAGGGTAGGGAAGCATGCTAATCAATTCCAATAGCATTCATGAAAAAGAGGGCAAAAAGTTTTTTGAACTTCAGAGTTAATGAGACACATCTTTTCCTCAGGCAAGAGTTTTTTTAAAATTAAAATGTGTATCTGCACATATGCATGTATATATGTTTGAGTGGGTATGTATGTATATATTTACTTTATACATGTGTGAAGGTATGTATACTCTCCCTCCTTGTTATTTACAGAATCTGTATTTATGAATTTGCCTACTCGCTAAAACATATTTGTAATTCTATTTGTAAAATCAGTATTTGCAGCGCTTTTACAGTCATTAATGGACACACGCAGAGCGGTGAAAAATCTGAGCCACTCAACATACAAGAGCATCCCAGCTGCGGCTAAACAAGGTGCTCTTGTGTCAATTCTCATAATGTAAACACATATCTTTTCGGAGGCCTACTTATTCCTGTGTTTTTGCATTCCTGTGCTTCCAGTTGTGACTTCACTGTTTAAAATGGTCCCCCAGCACAGTGCTAAAGTGCTGTCTAGTGTCCTAAGCACAAAAAGCCGTGCCGTGCATTATAGAAAAAACACATGAAAATAAGCTTTGTCCAGGAATGAGTTATGGTGCTGTCAGCCATGTGTTCAATAACAATAAATCAACAGTATATAATAAATATCTTTTAACAGATACACATATAAAACAAGGTTATATATCAATCATTTGATGAAAATATTGCAACTAGAGGCTCACTAGGAACCAAATTGCATTATTTCCCCTAGGAGCAATCAGTGTTTCAGTATTTGCTAATTCAGAGAAGGCAATGGCACCCCACTCCAGTACCCTTGCCTGGAGAATCCCAGGGACAGAGGAGCCTGGTAGGCAGCAATCCATGGGGTCGCGACAAGTTGGATACGACTGAGCGACTTCACTTTTACTTTTCACTTTAATGCATTGGAGAAGAAAAAGGCAACCCACTCTAGTACTCCTGTCTGGAGAATCCCAGGGACAGAGGAGCCTGGTGGGCTGCTGTCTACGGGGTTGCACAGAGTCGGACACAACTGAAGTGACTTAGCAGCAGCAGCAGTATTTGCTAATTTAGTGTTTCCAATAACTTTACAGTAAAACTATCACAGATAAGAATTATTGTAGGGTGTGTGTATGTGTGTATGTGTGTGTGTAGTACTTGAATTCCATCTCTGTATAAATTTTTTTTAAAATCAACTAAAAAAAAAAAAGATCACCTAAACACATCATAATCAAACTGCTGAATATCAAGATAAGGAGATGAGGAAAGATACACTGCATACAGAGAAACAAAGACAAAAATTTCCCAACAAAAATTACTCTGAGAGATAATGGAGTGATCTTTAAAGCGCTACAAGGAAAAAAAAAAGTACTGGTGAAACAATTTCTCAGACAAATAAAATCAGAAAGGATCAACCAATATCAGATACATGCCTCAAGGACTTGAAGGAAATTCTTTAGCCAAAAGGAATATGACACCAGACTGAAACACAGATCTATACTAAGAAATGAAAACTCCAGAAATGCGAAAAAGACAGAAATGGGGGGAGAGATAATATTTCTTCCCAAAAAACAAAAAAAGTAAAAACAAAACCTATACCTAATATTAGACTTGACGGTGAAAGACTGAATGCTTTCTTCCTAGGCTCAGGATAAGACAAGGGCATTCTCCCTCAGTCCTAAGCACTGAAGTAGAGGTCCCAGTCAACACAACAGGACAAGGAAAAGAAAGAAAAGACACCAGATTACAAGTGAAAAATCCAAGCTGTCATTATCTGCAGAGACCATGATTGTCTATGGAAGAAAAACAAAACAATACCACTCAAATTACTAGCTCTAATGAGTTTAGCAAGATCATAGGATACATGTAGATATTAAAAAAAAAAAAATCCCCTGTATTTTTCCCTATTGCACATTACATACATAAATTAACTCAAAATGGATCTGAAACCTAAATATGAGCTAAACCAGTAATATCCTTAGACAAAAACAAAGGTATAAATCCTCTTGACACTGGGAAAAGCAATGGTTCCTGGATACAGCCAAAAAAGAAAAAAAAAAAAAGATTTGTACCTACAACAAAATTTAAAACTTTTGTGCTTCAGAGGGCACTATCACAGAATGAGAGAAATATCTGCCAAGCATATATCCAATAAGGGACTTGTATCTAGAACCATGAAGAACTCTTACAACTCCAAAATCTTAAAAAATACAATTTTAAAATGGGCAAAGGAATGAATAGACATTTCTCAAAGAATATCTACAAATGACCAATAAGCACATGAAAAGATACTAAACTAAGGAAATGCAAACCAAAACCACAATGAGAACCACTTTGTACCCCCTAGGAGGGCTATAATCAAAGGAACAAGTAACAACAAATGTTGAGTTTGAGGAGAAATTCGAGCTCTGATACATTGCTATGGGCATGTACAATACTGAAGCCTCTCTGGGAAACAGTCTGGCAGTTCCTCAAAAAGTTAAATATAGAGTTACCATGTGAGTCAGCAATTCTACTTCGAGGCATATACCCAAGAGAAATGAAAACATAGGTTCACACAAATAAACTGTACACAAATGTTCATGGCAGCATTGTTCATAATACCTCAAAAGTGAGATATGCCAAATATTCATCAATAAATAAATGTTGTATCAGTGGAATATTATTCAGCAATAAAAAGGGACAGAGTACTGACACAAGCTTTATAACATGGATGAATCTTGAAAAACATCATGCTATGTGAAAGAAGACAAGCTCACACTGTATCACCTCAGTTATTTCAAATGTCTAGAACAGACACATCTACAGAACAGAAAGCAGATTAGTGGTTGCTGAGGGATGAAGGGCGGAGAAGGCAATGGCAACCCACTCCAGTACTCTAGCCTGGAAAATCCCTTGGACAGAGGAGCCTGGTAGGCTGCAGTGCATGGGGTCGCACAAAGTCGGACACGACTGAAGCGACTTAGCAGCAGCAGCAGCAGCAGCAGGGATAAAGGGAAAGGGGATGGGTGGTAACTGCTAAGGTGTACAAGGTTTTGTTTGGGGGTTATGAAATTGATTGTGGTGATGGCTACACAACTCTGTGGATATGCTGAAAGCCATGGAACTGTATGCTTTAAATGGGTGAATTTTATGATATGAGTATCTCAATAAAACAGTTAACAACCAATAAAAGCTCCCAGATGTCTATCTCCAATAGTAATGTCTTTCCTAAAATTTCAGATCAGTATAATTCAACTGCCCCAGGTGTCTCAGACTTTGCACCTTAAACAATGACTTCACACACACTCACCTCATCAAAACAAAACTACCATTCAGTTACTCAAACAGAAACCTTGAGTCATTCTGATTCTCCCTTAAGATTGTTCATTATAAAGGCTATCAAGTTCACCTCTAAAGTGAAAGCTGAACAGTCATGTCTGACTCTCAGAACCCATGGACTGTTGCCTGCCAGGCTTCTCTGTCCATGGAATTCTCCAGGCCAGAATACTGGAGTGGGTAGCTGTTCCCTTCTCCAGGGGATCTTCCCAACCCAGGGATGAACCCAGATCTCCCACACTGCAGGTGGATTACCTTCTGAGCCACCCAGGAAGCCCAAGAATACTGAACTGGGTAGCCTATCCCTTCTCCAGTGGATCTTCTCAACCCAGTAATCAAACCCGGGTCTCCTGCACTGGAGTCATTCTGACTCTCCCTTAAGACTGTGTACCATAAATGCTATTAAATTCACCTCTTAGAGAGCTCCTAAATCTGACTCCTTTTTGTCTCCTTTTTATTTAGGCCCTAAGGATTTCCTGCCAAAATTACTACAACTCTCCTAAATGACCCCATTGCATTGTCCTGCCTTTTTCCAACAGATCCTCCACTACCACCAGAGTGAGTTTTTCTAAAATGCAAATATGATCAAATCAATCTCCTCCTTAAAAATCCCAAATCCATCATAATCTTACAAACCTTTCAGAGTAGGTGAATTTCTCAGGCTGCCTTCTTTTGTCACTCCTACTGATTACATGTGTATTCCATCTTTTAGCCATCTTTACACACACTGCTTCCTTTTGAATCTATCCTCCTTTATTCCTGCAGTGCACTTCCTAATTTTTCACTCAGCCAGATACTGTTTACCAGTTCCTAAAATGAAAAGAATTCTGAGCCCTCCTCTGATCCCTACAACCAAGTGGTCTGTAGCTCCTCTGTCTTCCTAGAGCACATAAAACAGGTCTCACTTACCACACTGTATTTGTTTTCTTTTTACCCTTCCTCACTAGAAAATGAATTGCTTGAGGGCTTTCATCGCTTAGCACATACTAGATGCTCAAAACTAATGACTGAAATGAGTGGTGCAGTACAGGACAAAATTAGTGTTTTCCACTAGCATTAAAATGACCTAAGAACTAGCATTTAATAGTTCATCCTGATGTGACATTAAGTGTATATATGGAAATACTGCATGCGCATGTGTGCTCAGTCTTGTCCAACTCTTTGTGACTCCATGGACTGTGGCGGGCCAGGCTCCGCTGTCCATGGGTTTCTTCAGGCAAGAATACTGGAGTGGGTTCCATTTCCTCTTCCAGAGGATCTTCCTGATCCAAGGATGGAACCTGAGACTCCTGCACTGGCAGGTGGGTTCTTTATCACTGAGTCGCTTGGGAAACCCCATATTAGGCTACCCCAAATACAGTCACATGTAAAGCCTTCTCAACATTTCTACATATGACTTTAATGAGATTCCAGCAATATTTAAAACTTTAGAACAGATGATTTATGATAGGGTGGAAGTAGGATCTGACTTACCTTGACAACATCGGCTTTATGCTTTTCTAAAACTTGAAGCGTTTGAGCAGTATCGGAATCAATCACTACCACAAGTGAATGACATCCATAAGCAATTAAACCTTGCCAGCCCCTAACAAAAGGTGTGAACATTTAAGTGAAGAGCAAAGCAAAACAACTTCTCTCTTGCCAAGAGGCATCATAAACAACAGATAACTCTAACCAATAGGCACCACCATTAATAAAATTATTATGTAAGCCCAAAGGCTAGTACTTTACATTTTACCATTTAAATAGAAAAGGTCTAGCTCAGTTTAAAAAAAAAAAAAACTTGTTGAAATTCTTTTTTTTTTTCCGGATTAAAAAAAAAAAAAAAGTTCTGAGAGATATGCCTGTAAAGGCGTAAAGACATATAAAGCGACTCCAATCGTCTATTTGTCTCCTAGAGCTTATGCCTCGTCTTGGTCAACTTTGAATCCTGGGCATCCATAGAGTGCGTGGGACACACTCCACACTCTGGGCTTAGCCCTGGTCCCTCCAACCAGATAAAAAGACGAACCCTGAACAGGAAGCTTCTGTACTCTTGCCAACCTTCCCAGGAGCCACAGCTACAAGCAGTCCGCTTTGTATTTGCCTGGTTATTAATTATCGGTGTCATTTTATAGTAAAAAGATAAAGGTGAAATGAAGAGTTGGCGAGAGCCCCGGGGCCTGGCACAGCGTCCAGCACACTGTTGAATGGATACAGGTTAAGAAACGGGGATGGGAGTAAAAGAAGACAGAATTGGGGAAGAACGGAACTGACATGGGGGCGAGAAGCCCGGAGACTTGGAGGAGAGGGTAAGAGTGGGGAACGGGGACGGCGAGGAAACTGAGAAGAAAGCGAAGAGAAACAAGAAATGGGAGAACGAGGGCAAATATATCCACCCAAGGCAAGTTCCCACATAGGGGTATTTACAGCTTTTATAGTAACAACAGAAAGCCAGCATTTAAAAATGAAAATCCCTATAAAGTGTGAAGGCAGCGTCCACTCGAGAACTAACTAAAGAGGGGGATGAAACCTCTTGTTCTTTCCCCTTCCCCTTACAGACTCCTGGCCGAGCCTGGCGGCCTCGGAGCCCGGTGCCCTCACCAGTCCACCGCCGCCTTGTTGTGGGCATTGAGGGCCCCGGTGAGGGTGCGCGCCGACACCTTAAAATTCACGGTGTAGGGCAACATCGCGACGGCTAAACTGGGCCCTCAGGGCTGCCGCGCAACCAGGAAGCCGGCGGCCACTGGGCTTCCGTTCCAAACAGAGTCCGGGTGGCTCCTTGGGCTCCGCAGTTTGGTTCCGCCAAATCCGGGATTCCGTTGCCTTCAGGTTCCGTCACTCCTGTGTTCCGCCTGCTTCAGGGTTCCGCCACCGTGAGGGTTCCTTAGCTCAGCATAGGATCTGGTGGTGCCTTGAAGGAAAAGGTGGTGGCTGGGGTTACATCTGTTTTCTTAAGACTGGGACTGCGTAAGCCTGTGTGCCCTGATGAAAATGTAAGCCTATGTGTCCTGATGAAAATTATTAAAAGCAAGAGCTAAAAGTCCCAATTAGCCTTCTGCCTTCGATCAGTTAACTTAGGAAAACCACCAATGTCTAGTCAAAGCTATGGTTTTTCCAGTAGTCATGTATGGATGTGAGAGTTGGACTTTAAAGAAAGCTGAGCGCCGAACAATTGATGTTTTTGAACTGTGGTGTTGGAGAAGACTCTTGAGAGTCCCTTGGACTGCAAGCAGATCCAACCAGTCAATCCTAAAGGAAATCAGTCCTGAATATTCATTGGAAGGACTGATGCTGAAGCTGAAACTTCAATACTTTGGCCACCTGCTTCGAAGAACTGACTCATTGGAAAAGACCCTGATGCTGGGAAAGACTGAAGGCAGGAGAAGAAGGGGACGACAGAGGATGAGATGGTTGGATGGTATCATGGATGCGATGGACATGAGTTTGAGTAAGCTCTGGAAGTTGGTGATGGACAGGGAGGCCTGGCATGCTGCAGTCCATGGGGTTGCAAAGAATTGGACAGGACTGAAGGACTGAACCGAACTGAACTGAACCAATGCCAGGCACTGTTGTAGGTGTTAGGGATATAGGGGTGAAGAGGACACAAAGTCTTTACCCTTATGGAGTTTATAGAATAAATGAGATTGTGGATTTAAGAATGTTTCCATTATCTAAAAAAAAAAAAAAAGAATAAGTGAATGTATAGGATTCACTGGATGAATGGAGAGAGTGAATGAGATGAAGAGCCGGAATTATAAAATTTTTCAATGGCAACCATGCACTGTATGTGATCCATTAATGGTTCCTATAATGAACTGCTATTACTAATACCATATATCATTTGTTGGGAATTATCACATGCTAGGCAGTAAACTAAGGACTTTCCATGTGAGCTAAGCCTTTTCTTTCATCCTCACGCTGGATTTTCTTCTTCTGGCCCTAGGTGTCTTGAAAGGTTACTATCAGTAATAGAAGGGCATTTATTGTGACTTTGGGCAGATCACTTGAGTTCATTAAGCCTCCTTTTCTTCTATTATATGGGGGAGGGTAATTATCCTTGGATGATTAAAAACCTTATGTTAGATAATATGTTAAAGAACCTAACACAGCACTTAGATTCCTAAGTGCCTTATAATTTACTGGCAGAGCTGGAATATGAATACAGGTCCTTTCTGGGGGTAGGGGTGGGACAGCACTGGCCCTCTAAGCTGTGCTGTGCTTAGTCACTCAGTCGTGTCCAGTGCTTTTCCACCCGTGGACTGTAGCCCGCCGGGCTCCTGGCTCTGTCCATGGGGATTCTCCAGGCAAGAATACGGGAGGGGGTTGCCATGCCCTCCTCCAGGGGATCTTCCCAACCCAGGAATCGAACAGGAGTCTCCTGCATTGCAGGCGGATTATTTACCAGCTAAGCTACCAGGGAAGCCCCCACCCCCAACTAAGCTCAGTCAGTTCAGTCACTCAGTCGTGTCCAACCCTTTGTGACCCCATGGACTGCAGCACGCCAGGCCTCCCTGTCCATCACCAACTCCTGAAGCTTCCTCAAACTCATGTCCATTGAGTCAGTGATGCCATCCAACCATCTCATCCTCTGTTGTCCCCTTCTCCTCCTGCCTTCAGTCTTTCCCAGTATCAGGGTCTTTTCCAATGAGTTTGCTCTTTCACATCAGGTGGCCAAAGTAGTGGAGTTTTAGTTTCAGCATCAGTCCTTCCAATGACTATTCAGGACTGATTTCCTTTAGGATAGACTGGTTTGATCTCCTTGCAGTCCCAGGGACCCTCAAGAGTGTTCTCCAAGAGTCTTGGAGATCCATTCCTTAGCGACACTCATGGGGGGCCCAAGTCCCTCTAAGCAACCTTAAATTTGAAGAAAGATCTTCCCTCTCTAAGGTGTATCCTGCAGGAGAAGAAGTAATGAGAATTTGGCTAAAAGTGGAGTTGGATTTGCTGAGTCACTCACAGGGATACCAAAACCACAGTGATTTGCTTTAAGACCAGGGCTTTAAGGGATCCCAATAGTGAACATATCAGACAGGCTTTGGGGAATCGCAGTTCTGGATGGACCATGCTGACCTTGTCCCTGAAGGGGCTAACTCAGCTCTTTCTAAAAAGCCAGCCTGTCTGTACACAAAGCCAAAGACGAGGCTGTTTGAGCTGCTAGGCAAGCCCTAGCCAGTGCTCCTCTGACCACCCTGAAGTCATACCGTGCTTATGATGCAGTCTGGAGCTCAAGTCTGTAGCCTCAGGAGTTAGCTTTAAAAGAATGCAACTTGTGTATCTTTCAGGATAATGATGCCCCCTTCTCTTCCAGACTTGGGTCTCATGAGCTTCCCTTCTCAGGCTGTGCCTTTACTCAAACCCTTCTCCTGTCAGGAGAAGGTCACTTAGCCTCCCACTACCTCTAGCATCAATATGGGCCACAACATTTACTACATTAGTTAGATTATTTTTATTATAACACTGATGTTTTAAATTGGTCAATCCTGTCTTATCTTAAATGAAAGCATCTGAACTACAAACCAACCCTGTTTCATCAGTGGTAGGTATTGCCAACTCCAAGTTCTAGATGGAGAAATGCAGCCTCAGAAAGGGGAAGTGACTTACCCAAGATCACATTTCTGGCCAGTGAAAGAGGTGAACTTCCACCCACTCAGGGCTCAGTCTAGGACACAGAACTGCTCTCATGTGAGGTTTAGGTATGGTTGTGCATTGTTGCCAGGGATGAAATGCGGGCCATGCATGCACACTTTGTGCAGTCAACACATTTTAAAGGAAAGACACCCAGTAACATGGGAGGCCCAGTCGGCAGCTGAGTGGGGGACTGGATGAACAGGAGGGAGTACTGGGTTGACAGCCTAGACTTGGCATCTATTTATCTTTCCTTGGGTTTTTCTTTAAATACCTTCCACCCACACTTTACTTCCTTGTGGATGATCATCAGTCCAAATTATTATCTGACTACTCTTGTTATTGATCTCTTTTTGTGTCTGCACATATTATGGGTAATTCTTACAGTACAGTGGATCAGTCACTGCACTTTATGACTTGGTAATTGAGGTTTATTAGACTAAAGGAGGTTTCTGAGAAAAGCAGTCATGGTGAAATGGACTTCTCCTGAGGAAGCTGTGTGAGGGATGTGTTTTTCTTACATCCTGAGCACAAGGAGAGGCAGTCAGGTGTTGCTGGAAATGGCGAGGGCTTTGTGGTTAGACAGACAGACAGACAGGTAGGAGTCCTGCTCTGGTCCAGCCACCTCCTAGCTCTGTGACTTTGGGAAAATTTAGGGTTTGAAATATTGTATGTAAGATGCTCCAATGTGATGGTTGTCCTGGGTATTAAGGACAAGGAGCCAGGTGTGCACCCATTCGGGCCCCTTCTCTCTTTCCAGCTGGTCCACATAATTGACCTGCAGGCAAAACTAATTCCTGGGGTCACTGGGGCTCTGTCAATGTGTGTTTATCAAATTATTGGCTGTTTTTAACAGAAGAATAAGCTAGAGGACATCCTTATTTGATTCATTCATCAGAATTTTATTAGTCCAAATAAACAATGTCTTAATATTGAGCTCATGGAATAGCATTTCATAAATTAGATTAACTTTACAAACTTGTAGCTGGTGCGCAATCATGCTTTCTTGAGAAGAAGTAATTCTATTGATTACACATTCTTAACAAGCTTGGATCTTGGTAGAAATAGACTGTGAGACACTCTAACAGGCTTAAGGGTTTCACAACATTGTCTAGTCTTTCACAGAATCTTCCAGTTGTTGCAATTAAAAACAAATGCCAATTTGACACTTCTGAGTGTCATATTTGTGTTCCTATTCAGGGTAGATGGCTGGCTTGTAATTCAAAGTCTACCCTAGAATAAGTCTTGAGAGTAGACAGACTAAATCCAGAGGCCTAGAAGCCAGCATAAAATAAAAAAATGAACTTTTTTATCCTGATGTATCCCAAAAGTCCTTATCTAAGAGCATCTAGTTTTACTCTCTTGAAATATTAAGAACAATATCACAGTTTTTAAAAAGAGAAAAATGTGTTCATAATCTTTACTTGCTAATGTAATTTTTATATTCAATTCAGTTCAGTTCAGTCGCTCAGTCATGTCCAACTCTTTGCAACCGCATGGACTGCAGCACGCCCGGCCTCCCTGTCCATCAACTCCCGGAGTTTACTCAAATTAAAGTCCGTTGAGTCGGTGATGCCATCCAAGCGTTTCATCCTCTGTTGTCCCCTTCTCCTCCAGCCTTCAATCTTTCCCAGCATCAGGGTCTTTTCCAATGAGTCAGTTCTTCACATCAGATGACCAAAGTATTGAAGTTTCAGCTTCAGCATCAGTCCTTCCAATGAACACTCAGGACTGATTTCCTTTAGGATGGACTGGTCGGATCTGCTTGCAGTCCAAGGGACTCTCAAGAGTCTTCTCCAACAGCACACTTCAAAAACATCACTTCTTCAGTGCTCAGCTTTCTTTATTATCCAACTCTCACATCCATAGATGACTACTGGAAAAACCGTAGTTTTGACAAAACAGACCTTTGTCAGCAAAGTATTATCTCTGCTTTTTAATATGCTCTCTAGATTGGTCATAGCTTTTCTTCCAAGGAGCAAGCAACTTTTAATTTCATGGCTGAAGTCACCATCTGCAGTGATTTTGGAGCCCCCCAAAATAAAGTCTGTCACTGTTTCCATTGTTTATCTATTTGCCATGAAGTGATGGGACCATATGCCATGATCTTCATTTTTTGAATGTTGTTTAAGCCATCTTT